CTCTGCCCCGCCGTGTCTCGGCCGAGCGGGCCGCCCCTCCCCGCTGCCGGCGGCGCCCGCGACAGCGCTGTCCGGCGCTTCCCCCGCCGGGCGCCGGGCTGGTGGCCCAGTGCGGCTCGTGTTGGGTCGCCGGGGACGAGCTGTCGGTGGCGACCGCCCGCTGTCGGTGTGGAGCGGGTCAGCCCTGCCGAGACATGAGAGCGGCAGCGCCGGGCCGCCTCCGTGAGCCGCAGCGCGTCTCTCGGTGTGTTACAGATCGAGGGCGGTCGGGAGCAGCGCCCGGGGCCGGGTTGAACGCGCGACCCGGTCCCTTGGCGCAGGGCACGGGGCTGGGTGCACTCCCGGCTCCGCGCTGCGTGTGCCGGCCTGCAGCTGCCGCGGCCTCCGCTCTGCCGCTCCGAGTGCCCGGGGATTAGATGACAGCTCCGTGCCGGTCCTCTCTTAATCCGAGACGTGGTATTCTAGACCCGTAGCTGCATCTCTCCACGTTTTATATGAGTTATTATTGGGATTCTCTGATTTGATTCCTGTTTTTTTTTTTCTTTCTTTCTTTTGCTGTCATGTCCTTTACTTCAGAACTTTGTCCTGCCCTTGCTATGGGTATGTTGCTACTTGCGCTATTAAACAGGATATGGGTGGCAGCATATTAAACATAGGTGCAGTAGAATGAAGACATCAAGAGCACAGAATCAGATGTGCAGGTGTAGCTGTATTCTAATTGCATATCATCTTTAAYTACAAGTATTTCCCAATTCCATTAAATAATCCTCACATACAAGTATATAGAGCAGAGTTGTATTTAAAGGATTCTCTTTGCTCTCATTTTTCTAACTTTTTGAACAGAAGCATAGTAATGGCATGAGCATGTTCAAGATTGAAGCAAARTATGCCTTTGTGAAATTGTTCTGGTGTTTACTACATTTGTAAATATTTTGTCAGATTTCTTCATGAAATATTGAAGAACTGGTGCTCTGTAGCTTTATTTCTGTGAGCTTCACAGAACTGCAGCTAGTGTCTCAAGGATTCTGTTTTGAGTATCAATTGTAGATCGAGGACAAGTTGTTCCACTTCAGACATGTCATCAAAGCAAACTGGGGCAGTCTGTGTGAAGGAAGAAAATGGAATGAATTTTTTTGTTCTTGGTGGCAGGACTTAGACTTTCCAAGAGCTCAAAATAGTAGCAATTTACTGTTTTATCTGTTTTGCCCTCACTGATTAACCAGCTCCCACAACACCCTGCCAGAGTAGATGGCAGGTTATGTGCAACCATTGTCTTCCTTTATCTTCTCCAACTCAGCCCTTTAGGCAGAGGYACWRCAGAAGTCTTAGCTTAAAGTATTGTCTTGTGTGGGTTTCAACCTTCTGTATCACACACATGCTACAACCACAGTTCATTTTTTATTTCCTTGAATTCATAGAATTAGCATTTCTCTGAAGTTCATTCTTTGTTCATATTGCCCTTTATTTTCTGTTACRACATCTTGGACTGCTTTTTTTGACCACATGGTTATCCTGGCAAGGTACTATGAGTTCACTATTTACTCTCCAGCTGTTTCAGTTCTTAAGCCTTCAGATTTTCTGTGGTGAAAGCACGGTAACGTTGGAGTTTGTATCATGGGAGTGCACAGTCTGTCATCTGACTGCCTTTTCACATACAAAGTTTTCAGTTGCAAGCCAACATCATTGTTACAAGCTATGGCTCTTTTCATAGTACTTAGGTGGTTTGCTTTTCAAAGGATGGATTTTCCGGGAAGACCTATGGTGGACCCCAAATGCATCTACCCAGATGTTTTTCCCTCTTCATATGTTACGAAAAAAACCCCTAACATTTAATGTAGGATAGAGAACATAAACGAAAGTTGCAATTTGCTTTATGAGGCTGGATATTGACAGGTATTTCTGAAATTGTCCATAAGACATTTGCTATAAGATAGTAGCAAAAATACGTAATCAAAATGCTACTCTTTTTACCCACTCAATGCTTTAATATACTCTAGTTATAAAGCCAGCTACAGAGTATTTTCATTCTTGTTTCTGGACACATCTGCCTTCTGTTCATCCTTAGAAGTAATTTTTCTGTGGCAAGTGGTTTCAGAAAGGAATCTGAGGGTGAYTGTGCAGGATACAAACATGAAATTTGATAGAACATGTTTAGCATGGGCAGCYGGATAAAGTGGATTAATGGAAGTGAGAGATGCTATGAGATTTTTAMTGTCACTTGGAAAATTGTATCTAGCAGTCCAAAGCCTCTGTCTCACTCCTCGTTCAGAAAGTACATCAGTGTCTCACCCTTTTAGGACTGTAATATAACGTCAGGATTGGYGTTTGAGCTCAAGTGACGGTGTAGGATGTGTGATGTGCCTTTGGGCGAGGGAATCTTGGAGATGACGCTTTTAGAATTTCAGATGACATTTTCCAGGGGAAGAAGCTTTGCTGCCACTACCAGTCAGCAATTCTGGTCCTTTTACTGCTCTCGCAGGCAGCGGCGGCTTGTTTTCTGCAAAGGTTTCGGTGGCTGTCAGAGCGCTGAGCCTCCTGGCCCACTGATGGGTGACACTGCCTGGCTGCTGACYGTGATGGATGTGGTGCCTGTTTTGATTGTGTGACACTTGGTCTAGTGGCGAGCAAGCCAAAATGCCACAGGTAATGCTCGGAACAGACGTCCAAAATAAATCAACTTGCAGCTTACATCAAAACATGTAGCAGTTATGTGGAGGATCTGGCATTACTGATCCATACAAGGCATTTCTTCCTGCTCTCAGTTATGTGGATGTCCATAAGGACCTTTSATAGATGTGTTTTGAAGTGCCTGTGGACTTAATCTGCACTTCTGTGGTGCTCCTTTACCCCTTTGGTTCAAGGCTGCTGTTGACAGCTGAACAGTTTTTTTCAGTCACATGGAAGTCCTAATTTTTTCTCAATATTCAGTTATCCTGCCCTTCAAGTGTGACACAGATTTTTCTTTGCATTAGCAACATAAAATAATAAAATTCTGAYTTGAAAGTTTGACAACAAGTGGTGAGACAGCTGGAATTTGGGATACCTCAGCTGAATTGAGGGATTCAGGTAAATGTATTTGCACCAACTTCTTTGAATTCAGGTGCTCACTGATGAAATAATTGACAATACTGGTTTCACAGTTAATGGACAGTCCTGCTGGGAGAGCATTACCCACATCCAAAATAATACCTGGAGATTATCTGTAGACTCATTTGSCTACATTTCATAGGGTAAGTATGCTTAGATAAGCTGGTGGGTTTTGCATAATTTTTATCTTGTTTGCATTCRAGTAATGCAACTGTAATCCTCCTAGGTAATCAAGAGTCAGAAGAATACTGCAATAGGTATTACTSAGATGAGAACAGAAATGTGGCACTTGTCTGAAAGAGCTTGCACCCCAATTATAAGAGGACAGGGAAAGTGGATCTAGGCAGATGGAAGCAGTGAAATGGTATTAATCAGTGCAGCAGGTTATTTCTCTAACATGCTGGTGGTCTGGTTTGTGTTTCTTATAAACATCATGGCGAARGTACAGCATGGGAAAACTCTCCAAGGTGACACATTTCAGCATTTAGTAAGTGAACTGTTGACATTCTAGGAGGAGGGACTCAGCTTCCAAGTAAGACATGCAAGATGATAAGATGGGTAAAGGTTTTGGACAGTGGAGATAGTGGAGACAGTTTGCGTCTCCAGCTCTCTTACATAAAGRTGATGTGAAGAGGAATGACCTGGTTGGTTGGTTTGTTTAGATTTCCCAAGGAAAAGTGGTTTTTAGTTCATACTAGCCTTGTAACTTTTATTGGTCTTAGCTTTACTGAATTACTGTGCAATGTAAATTTTTATTTTAAAATAGCAGCTGTTTATTTTAGGAACTACATTCGACTCTTCTAAGTATCTAAATATATACTTTACGAAGAAGGCCAATTTGTAAATATAGGAATATTCATGCTATTAAATATAGACTATTTCAAGTATATTTTAAATTTAAAATAGTCTGGGCATACCATAGTTTTAACTTAACAAATTCASCACATTGATTTTTGGCACTCTGTCAAATCTGTAGCTTTTAAAATTAGATAGGCAGATCATTCTGCTGCTTTTGAAGTGGTTTGTTCTTTCTAGAATGGTGGAAATGARCAGTTGAGTGAGGAGGTTTTGATCTTAATCAACTTTTTGTAAGAAGACTGGCATTAGGAGTCTTTTAAGAAGTAAAAAGTCAGTTGAGAATAGCTAATGATRGTGATGATTACACTTCAAACTCTTGTGTACTGAGCTCAAAGAATCTGAAAAGGTTTGGCAAGAACTAGTTCTTAGTTTTGTATRAAATTATTTTTTAAAAGGAAAGGGTTTAGGTTTTTCTAATCTAACTTTTTGTATTTTTTGATTTTTCCCAACAAATTTGTGTTACTTCTACTGAAAATTTTTACTGTGTGCTAAGTAGAGATGAGGGTAGAGCTAACATACCCTCTGAACTCAGCTTTTTCTGCTACAAAAATCAGTGTCTTTTTATTTGTCAGATTCATTAGTCAAATATGATGTACCCCATTACTTGATTTTGTATGTACAAAATGAAGAACTTAACCAMATMTATTCTTCCATCACAAAACAAAGCTTCAAGCAAGGATTCATGGTGACTTCTTTTWGCATAGGGAAAGGAGGAGAGTCTGTCCCCTTTAGGATATTCCATAATAGGTGGCTGTAGACACAAACTACTTAYTGGACATATTAAAAAAATATGAAAATTGGTTGGAAAGAGTGAAGTCATGGGAATACTACCATGGTTTTTAATCTTCAGTATTTTTAATCTTCAGGTTAATTTTGTCTAAATTGTTCTTTTCTCTTTTGCCTGCTTGTTCTGAACRGCTTGTGTCTGTGGCCAGCAATATGCTATAGAGCATCTAATTTGTTTTTATCTTRGCTGTATTTTATACTTTCTTGTGTCTATGTTTGTTCAGGATTTTCATTCCAATAAAATCTCAAATCTTTTATTTCCCATAAATGGAAATATTTCTGAGAAGTTGTTTCTGAAGCATCTTAAGTTTCTTCCTCGTTTAATCTAATTAAATATAATAATCACATTCCTGGCATAAACATTTTGATTTCGAAATTATGTTGGTTGATGTCAATCATGTTTYTGTTAAATGGGATCTTTTATTTGTAATGTTTTCTGACACTAAATGTACTCGTAAAGGGCAGACACTACTCCGTATATACTTGCTACTTGCTTCGTAGATCGTGTGCAGTAGCTCATTGCTCTTACCTTTCCATCACAYTTCTGTGCTTTTCAAAATCAGGCACAAACCCTGGCTTGTCTAAGTCCTTGATATGCTCTGKCTTTTCCAAGAGCTCACAGGTCAGTAAACATTGTCTGATGGATGTCCGTCTGTATGTGTGTCCATGGAAAGTAATTAACCTAATGGTCCGTGTTGTCTTTCCTCGCCTGCGCTTAGTGAAAGGAGACTGAAAAGTGTCCGAGCTGTGCAGTGTGAATGCAGCTTCTTGTGCCAGTGTTCATTCCTAAGCCATGTTGGTTATGCTGGGCTTGAAGTGCCGTGTTTTCAATCATTGTGGGTATCAGCTGATACTGTTTTTCCCCCGTGTCCCTAGGATATGGGTCCAGCAGTGGGCTTCTGTGCCCTGATCCAGGTTGTATCACCTGTGCTGTGGGCCATTGGATTTCACAGGTGGTAAAGACTTGCTTGTATTTCATCTGGTTGAGCCCATGATTATTTATTTGAGCTCTCTAAATGTACTGATAYGAACATGATGTTCATTGGGGTGAAGTCTGTGGTTTGGACAGTCTTACGTAATCTGTCCAAAGAGATCAAAATTGTTACGCTGAAATGAACTCATAGATTGTTTATATCAATGTTGAATCACCTAAACACAACCATGTTCCTTTAGGGAGGATATTTTTGCTGTCTTTGCTATTGACTCTTTACATAATTTAGTGTAAAATCTTGGGTTTTCTTACAGYAGCTGTATTGGCCTTACTGTTTGATGAATGTCTTGATGAATCTTACGCTCAGTTAAGTGCCAGTGCGACAAGTGGTGTTGGGTGAACACATGAAACTTTTGGGTACATATGATAAGCTGCCAAGTCAGAAAGACACAGTTGAAGTTGTTTGAACCTCCTCATGTTCTAGGGATGCCAGGTTGCATGGCTGTTGATGCACATTAGGCATGCTAACATCTGTTGAAAATATATAGTCAAGTGCTGGAATATTTAGATCTTTTTTACTGTATGCAAAGTAATTGTGAACCCTTGAAATCAGCAAAGCTGAATTCAGTTGCACTGTTCACCTTCATGTCTCAACTCAGTAACCATAAGTATAGAAAAAWTTGAAATCTGTAAATTAAGAACATCATGGTATTTAATATAGTATTAAGCTAATTTCTATGCAAATGTAGCCTTTTGCAAAAAATGTGTTGTATTTTGAAGGCTTGAGRAAACATGAAGCTGTTCATGCAAGGAAGCAGAGAGTAAAGATTTCATATTCTACAAAAATTTGACCAAAGCAAATCTCTAATGGGTAGGTTCATGCAGAAAACCTCCAGCACTAATAGTTATGTGTGGCAGGTGCAGGGATGTCTGTCCGTATTTGTGGGAATCTGGAATAGGAGCTCTGAGGTACAGATTGCCTGTTTTGCCTCGGGGAAGGCTCTTCAGATGCCAGTGGTGGTGGTGCTCTAATATCAATATTGATGACTGTCTGCTGATTGCCTTAATGGATAAGGAAGGAGAGGGAATATTGAATTCAATATACTGGTTGATTGCTGTGTCTGTCAGAGTTTCAGTAGTACAAACGTCTAAATGCAGAAAAGATTAAAATAGCTTAAGTAGACAAACTTRCTAAACTTTGGCAAACTTAACTAATTGATCTGTAGTAAGAATATACCATTTACTGTTCCCAAATGTAGGGCATTTTAGAGGTTTCTAAATGCGATTGCACAGTTGTAAATCTTTGCTCCTGGTGGCTTAGGTGACATTACTTGCTGTGGTACGCAGCAAGATGTGATTTTATTTCTAAACAGAATGGCTCACGTGTTTGYACTGTATGAATGGGACTGTTTTACATTCATATGCTTTGTATGTGAAAACGAAAATCTGTTTTTATGAACCACACTCTTAAAAGACAACCCGTAAATCAAGCCCCAGCAGCTGTTTGTTGGTATGATGCACAACTACACTCCTTCAGTGAATTCACATTTGGATTTTGATTAAATGACTGTGCTAGAATCTCTGAGCATTTTTTTAAAGCTTAGTGGCAAATATGTATGCTTTAATTCTCTTCATCCTAAGACTCCTTGATAAATGTCCTATAAGAGGTTTCATCTTTACAGATTCTCCAATGTTTAATAGAGAGGTCAGCTTGCGTCCAATCTGTCATCCCTCATATGATTGAACACTTTAATCAGATTTGGAAGACTTTTTGGTATTCTTAAAGTGTTTGAAATCACTCAAAAACTTCTAGAGAATGTGCCAAGGGTAAATGATGACTGAAACCTTTCATAAGGAATATATGTTAAGTAGAGAATTTGTTTTGATGAAGTTTTTCTGATATATTATGGTTGTAGCTCTGTAATAATTTACTTTGCAATAACAAAAAAAAGAAAATCTTGGTATCTCAAATATTTAACACCACTGCATAGAAGTGTGTGCATGTGTCCCCTTTTTCTCCCGATACGATTCATGATGTCTGGTAGTATAACTGATCTTGCAACATTCCTAAGGCTTCCTTCCTGACACATTCATACTCCTTGTTACAYAGTAGCTGACATTAGACCAGGCCTRAAACTGTGTTYCTTAGGTTSSAATGCATGATTTGATCYTGTGCTTTTAGAGTTCAAACTCGCCTCATTTGATGAAACATTTCACTAGCAATAACAATAAAGCGACCTCTGTTTGTCTTTCCTAGTAAGCAACAGATGCGGGTGAAAGATCCATCAAGAACCAACCCTGAGAAGCCRAAGAGAAGCAAAAGGCCCAACAGGCCGCAGGATGAGGACTCTTCAGATGATATTTCAGGTAGCTACATTAGGTGATGTTTGTCCTGGGGTTCAGGGCTGATAAACTTGCATGTTGACTGATGAAAACCACAAATCATTGGTACCATGAAATACTTGCTTGAATTTATAACAGAAATGTCCCCATTCAAGTGTTTATTATGTGATCAGTTGTTACGCTACATGACTGCCCTGAAGGGCTGGAGAGTTGGTTGCTCTTCAATGACAACCTCTTCAAAGCAGGTCCTTTCCTCTCTGTGTAAGGTCAAGCACACATGGCAGGAGGCCCCTTGGCTGAACAGGGAGCTTCCATGAGCTCAGAAGGAAAAAGGAAGGGCAGAGAGGGAAGAGGCAGGTTTGGGCTGCCCTTGCAGAGGTCTGGAGTGTGCAGGATTAGGGATTAGGGATTAGGGATTAGGTAAAGCAGCTTCAGTTAGAGTCAGATCTGATGAGGGGTGTGAAAAGTAAGATGAGCCTGTATGGGTACAGTGACAGTAAAATGAAGACTAAGGTGAGTGCCAACCTGCTGTGGGAGGGGGCAGAGATCCTAGRGACACAGGATGTGGGAAAAGGTGGAGGAACTCAATTCTACCTTTRCTTCTGTCTTCACACTTAAGTTCTGCACCCGATCCTCCCTGGTCCTGAGCTTAATGGCAGATTCTGGAATATAAACATCATCCAGAATAGAAGATTGAGARCTGTTAAACAAACTGGATGTACATAAGTCCACGGGGTCAGATGGGATATATCTGAAGGTGCTGAGAGAACTGGTAAATGTCGTTGTGAGGTTATGCTCTGCCATCTCTTCMTGGCAACAAATTGAGGAGAGCAGTTGATGTGCAGGAGGGTGGAGCTGCCATTCTGACTGATTTAGGCTGGCTGGAGAAAAATGGGCTGGYAGAAACTTCTGAGAGTTCAACAAAGGCAAGTGGAGAGTTTGGCACCTGAAAACACCCACATGCAGTTACAGGGTGGGAATTAAGGGCTTGAAAGCAGCTTTGCAAAAAAGGTCCTGGCGGTCCTAATGCACACACTGAATAAAACCAAATTGTGCTGCTTGTGCCTACTGTRGGCAGGACTTCATTAATGAGAGTGCAGGGTGGGTGGGTGATTCTTTCCATCTTTTCAGGACTTGTGCCACTTCATTGGGAGTACTTTGTCCAGTTGTGGGCTCCCTCTTACAAGAAAGACTGACTTGGCAGAGTGAGGCCAGTGGTTTACCCCCTCCATGTTTTTCAGGAGATTGAGAACATGGTACGGGAAGATTGGCTGAAAGGAGTATGTTTGTTTAGCCAAAGGAGATAAAAAAAATAATTTCTTTCATTGACTGCCTGATGGTAGCTACAGGGAAGGCAGAACCAGATTCTTCCACAGTGAGGGAGGACCACAGGAGGTCCACAGTGAGAGGACTAAAGGCAACAGACCAAAGTTAAGGTGTGGAAAATTTGACTAGGTGTGAGGCAATTTATTTTATTTTCACTCTGAGGGTGGTCAGACAGAAACCTCAGTCCTTGACGATATTAAACACCCAGCTGAACAAAGCCTTGAACAAACAGATCTAAATTAGTGTTTGGCACTGCTTTAAATGAGAGTTTGGACAAGATGGCCTTCAGAGGATACTTCAAGCATAGCTTATTCCRTGATATAGTGGAATTTGTGCAAAAAATATGACAGAGAAGAATGGTTGATATTCAGGTTCAGAATGAGCAGTTGTAGTAGGGATTCAGGCGTATTTGAAGATCTTTATGGGTTAAAAAGAGGTCAACAGCATGTGTTGTACTGTGCAAAAATAGATTTATGTATTCTTTTACTGTCAAAAACTGGGGAAATTAGTTTTGTACAAAAATAATCCTTGTACTTTTGTACAAAGTAGTTTATCTGGTTTTAAGAGGTGGCATTTATTGACTTGAAAAGAATTTCCATTACGKAAAGACTGAAAGAGATTCCTTCATAAAATTCAGTATGTGGGGAGCAGCTGGCTGATCTTTCCTACTTCAGTTCTTTGCTGCTTTTTTTTTSCTAATGCTGAATTTGTTGAAGATTATGCTCTTTCAGTGTACGCATGTTCTCTTCCATAGCTATTCTTTTTAATGAATAAAGGTGAGTATGTGTTATTTCCTGTAGGCTTAACCTGCCAGCACGTGAGCCAAGCAGTGGACGTGCATCATGTGAAGAGAGCGGTGGCTCAGAGCGTGTGGTCGATATGYGCGGAATGTCTGAAGGAGAGGCGCATGAGCGATGGTGAGCCCGTGGCACCTTCGGACATCTGGCTGTGTCTCAAATGTGGCTCTCAGGTAAGCACACGTGCTCAGTTTACAGAGGTGGAGTTTGTAAAGGATACTGTTGTGTCCTTGTGTGTTTGGCATCTCATTACCTCCAGTGGAGGGGTGTGRCAGAAGTGCTTAGTTGTGACAGTCTATGCTTCAGCTTCCTCAGGAATGGGGATGTGACTTTACGTTCTTGTCACATTTTTGGCAGTGTTTAGGGTTAGCTTTACGTGTCACGGCACGGTTTGGCGTCACATTAGTAAATGATGGTCCTGCCTTTTCTCTGTTCTTATCTGCATGCTCTTGCCACTTACAGAGAATTGGCTTTGGGAACTGTGTGGCTGCAGAATGCATCTGTTGGCTCCTCTGGCAGAAGTTCCCACAAATAGGAATGAATGAGAAACCAAMCATGTATATTGATGAATGAGCTTGTACTATGGACACTCAACTGCTAGATTTGACTGAAACCAGGGAGAAGGGACTATGCTGGAGTGAGAATGCTGCTCCTGTGGCAGATAGCCATTAGATTGGCTAAAGTTAGCCATTAGTTATAATGTCAAATCATGGCCTCAGAGTTTAAAATGGCAGCTCCTGACCCCAAGGGCTTGCACAGGTCTCTGCCGTGAGGGTGAAGTAAAGCCTTCAGGAAAATTCATTTTATAGGCAGTTTCAGGCTCAGTTCAGCCAATAGTTGTCTGAACAAAGGATTTTACAAGTTTCTTGGATTTTCAGCAGGTTTTACGGGAGAAAGCTACTTTTGGTAGGTTTTACTATTGAAGCAAGCTCCTACAAATATAATATGAACAGATTTGATTTTGCAAAAAAACATGTTCTTCACAGAGTTCTGAAGATAATTAACTAGATCTGAGGACAACTCACATATCTTGTTTGAAAAATTTTAGTTAAGGAGGGCTTTTAAAGAATGTTAATTCTGTGTGCTTCGTCATGCTTAAACTCATGCCTCATTCAGAGACCAATCTGAATCTAAGTCCCACTCTGTTCTTATTTGAACAATTGCAAATATTTTCACTTAAAATTGCTRTACATAAATGGTGTGTTCTGAGTAGTTTTGTAGTACAAAGCATTTCATGTACTCTTTTAATTTGCATTCTGGAATGCATTGGACATTTTTGAGCAGTGGGGGTTACTTACGCTTCCTTGATATTCTGGACCAAATATGCTATGTTGTTGTTTCATTCAGAACTGCTAGAGCATTCTTGCTTTTGTGAATGGTATAATTAGAATTTTTGRTCTATTGATATTTATTCAATAGTTGTTCAAAATCTAGGAATTATCTCTTCAGTTTAAACAAACTTAATAAATCTCTTTATTTTTAACTGATTTTTCCAAGTAGAAAAGATGAGAATGTTAAATCTTCTCAATCCTTAAGAATGCTAAATGAATAGGGCAGAATAGCTTCTTGTCTAATTTTGAAAAGTGAAGTTTTTGTATTTTTTTGTAGTTCTGTAGCCTTCTGTAATTAGAATATAGTCTTTTCCTCCTTCCCTTTTTTTCCCCCCTTACTGGGTTGATGTTTCCATTTTTAGGGATGCAGCAAGAATTCGGAAGGCCAGCATTCTCTGAAACACTTCCAAACTGCACGTACAGAACCTCATTGCATCGTTATCAACCTCAGCACTTGGATCATATGGTAAGAATCAGTGTGCAGGTGTTTGTGTGTGTTTGTATCTAAGGACTTCACATAACTGAAAGCAGTGTCTTCTCATGATAAAGAATGATTCTGACAGATGAAGTGAATACTTTGTGTAGAGGAAAGGCTGGCTTTCTGGAGACAAAATATGTTTGCATTCTCTGAAATTATTTAAATCYGTAAGGACCACAGTGAATTGGCAGTGATCTATATACGAGCATATAYGAGGTGAAGAAATTAAATTCTATTCCATTTTTTAGTGTGAAAAATTGAAACTGAGAGCTTAAGTAATTTGTGTAAGGTTGTTTGGGAGTTTTGCTAGAGCTGGGATGTGCAWGTAGATAGCCCTGAATTCCACTTTGTTTCTTCTTTTGTTTAGGTGTTATGAATGTGATGAAGAGCTGTCAACACATTGCAACAAAAAGGTTCTGGCTCAGATAGTTGATTTCCTTCAAAAACATGGTGCCAGGGCTGAACCAAGTAAGTTTGCACAAATAATTTTATCTGGAGACACACATAATGTACTGTCTCTAAAAATAAGTGTTTCACATTTCAAGTCATGTTAAAAATACAATTGAAAAATCATGTACAATGTAACCATTATGTAATTTATAATTGCAAAGCTACTTGGAGGTGTAATGCCTGTCAAAACATAATGTCACTATTTTTTCTACGGTATGATTACATTTAAAAAATACTTTGGACACAATAGGACAGTTTTTCTGGATTTTATCTTTAGCAAAGGAAGTTTACCATAGTGGAGTTGTTACCTTAAATAAGATAAGGCCATATAAATTAATGCATAAAAATATATTGAAGCATATGTTATACATTCACATATAAATTAATTTAATTTTCTTGTTATGGATGTATCGCAGCTTTAATTTTTCTGATTTAAATTTGTTCTCCACAGTTTAGATTTGTTTAAGTAGATTTCCTAGTACTCTGTTGTTRGATGTAATGTCCATTTTTGCTATTTGGTTTTAATTGATAGAGTGTTCATTTCTATTAAAAGAAGATAGTATTACATTATTTTTATGTATTAGGAACCTAATATACTTTCTCAATATATATATTAGTCGATAGAACTTTGTGTGTGTGGCCCTCAGCTCTCTACTCTTGATAATGTTAATGTTATTCATCCCTGCTGTAACACACTTGGCAGCATTTCTGGCTTGYGATGTAGAAAGTGCATTTAATTCTASATTTGCTTCTCWAAAACCAGCTTGAGTAAACTTYTAAAATTATTKGGTACATCTTTTAGCAGAGATAATCAACTGGTGTGAAGTAAGAAGGGAGAAGRGTTGCCTGACTCAGTTGCACTATTTTTCTAGCTGCATGTGCATAAATTGTGCTGGTTTTAAGAAGTGTTATATATTTTTTGAAAAATAAAAGTAAAGGGCTACTTAGAAATACAAKATTTTGATCTAGTTACAGGTTGTATGTTAAATTATTCAATTTTAATAAATTGATAATTTGCTACCTTTTTCATCTTTTTTTCGTAGTGCAGAGAAAATACAGCATGTGATTCCATTTTTGTTCATAGCTTTAGTCTCAAATTTATGTGTAATAAATTTTTTAAACATGGTTTTGCCGCTTTCTTGCAGATGAAAATGCTGTTTGTTTTTTTTTTTTAGTTAATGTAATGAAAACAATTTTATTCCATTATTGTGCTGCTGGATAACACTTTATGAGCAAGACAGCTTTGTGCATCATGGTTTAGATTCTAAATTAGTGAAACTTCAAAACATMAAAAACTTTCAGAGTATGAAGTTTAGACGTTTTCTGCGAAATGTCTTAAATTAAGCAACTAAAATTCCAGATTAACTCAGGAAAAGTGAATGTATTTATAGCAGAGCAGGGCAGCATATGCTTCTGCTGTGTATGCATTTGTGTTTAATTTTGGTACTCTGTTTTGAAAATGCATTATTCCAACTAAGTGTTTGCTGATCTAACTGGAAACTCTGCTGTAACTGGAACCAAAATGGTATTTATTTTTGCTTAGGAYTTAGACATAGGTTTGCAGGGTGCTTGCCTTGGCAGTCAGAGGTCTGAGCGTGCCAGGGCTTCTCTTGCAGGGCAGTCACAGCTCCTGCTCCGTGCTGGGAAAGGATTGAGGTTCAAGTGCAGGCTTGGATTCATGCATAAAGTGTGTGTGTGTGTGTGTGTGTGTGTGTGTGTATGTGTGTGTACTTCCAGGGATATTTTAAACGTGGAAGTCTGTGACCCTCTCCACTGTGTCTGTGTTGGGTGGTTTGGATTGTGTTCTGAAAGCTCTGGGAACATTGTCCCAGAGATGATTTGCTGGGTTTTCCTCAAGGAAAGTGGCAAGGAAAAGATGGAAAAGCTCTTTGCCTGGGACAGTTTGTTGCTTTGGGCTGGCTYCTCACTGGAAGAGGCTGGAAAACAGCCGTGTGTTCATAAATGACTRGTGTGCATGGCAGGGAACTCCTGACCAGAACTGGCACTCATGGTTCATTTTGAGAAATGGCAGAATTGGAACTTTCCCTACAGAAATCTATTTAAGGTTGKTTTTTTTTTTCCTTATAYTAGACTACCTTTAGGGATTCTGGAAGAAAAAATCTGAAATTGAAATGTAATTCACGCTGTTGTCCAGAGCACAAAGGACACGTTGTATAACTGTGAAAATTAACTCAGCTTTTGTGTTGGTTTAATTTTCTTTTTTTGGTAGCATTTTATTTCATGCCCCATTGATGTTTTCATTGTAACTGTCATTCTTTAAATTATTATTTAAAATTTAAATGTTTTATTATTTAAAATTATTATTATTATTTAAAATTTATTTTTTATGTTCACCCCTTAAAAACATAAGCTGATTTTTAAAAAGTGAAAAATAACTTGTGAGAAACAAGTAGTGTAAAACTGACAATTAATTAAATTCATATTTCTCACTTGAAAATCAGTCTTGTGCTCTTTTCCCCATTGCTTTTCCATTTCTTTCTCAAAAAGTCAAAGTGAAAACAGTTCTCATAGCAGAATATGGCACTGTAACAACAATTCATCTTAAGGTCTGGATTTCTTTCTGTTGTAACAACTGGTTGGCATGGTGCAATGTTAAAATTCAAATAGCATTGTGTGGAAATGCAGTATGAACATGGATACAAGTAGCAAACGAGGACTGCKAGGATTCTTTTTCAGGTCTCAAAAGTGCAGGATTCATTTAAAGATAAAATAATCGTTTGAAACATGTGAGAGAGGGTTATATAGATTTCCTAATTAATGCATCTTGGAAAATAAACAAAAGCAAAATGCTTGTCATTTGGTACTAATGTGGTGGAATAGTGTGGCAGCAGGATCCCTGCTTTTCACTCAGCCTCTCATACAGATTCAACTTCACTTCAGCTGTAAAAATGTGCAAATTACATTACTACTACATGACTGACTTTTGTAATTACATTAAGCGATTGAGATAAATCCCAGTGCTGGGTTCCCAAAAGAATGCTTGCAGCTGTGTGATTTTCACATCTGATCCTATGGTTTGTTGTACCCAGCAATGCCTGCTCTTTTCTTTTTTTTTTCCCTTTTTTTTTTAGCGGAGTCTGTTTGGTTAAGAGGTCATGTTGGGCACAAGCTGGAAGAAAAAAGCAAGATTGCTTTCTAGGGTGTACCACCCAGAAATTTGTTTTGTGGAAAAGGTTAGCAGGCCATGATGATTTCCACAGAAAGGCAGGTGCAGTATTGTCCGTGTGGCACACTTGTGAGCTTCACATGGACATAATGCACATGTAGTACACAGGAACCATGCTGAGACATTGCAATCTGTGTGTCTGCTCATTTACTGGAGAAAACAAATTGTTTTGCAGACTTAAAAGTGAATCTTATGTGTATTTTCCTTTACAAAAGCCAAATTATATGTCAGTGGAAACATAAAATTGCATGCTTTTTATAGAGCAGTTAATTAAATTGGTTTGTGTGGCAATAGAATGGGGAAAAAGAAGATATATTCTCAAATTTTGTAGTTAAATTTATTGTTGGGAGGGGCAAGCAGAGGAATGACATTTTGCTAGTAAGTTTGGCTGCCTGGATTTGCCAGTAAATGAAAGTTAGAAACTTGATTTTTATTTTGGTGGATATAACTGATGAATAAATATATATATAATTTTACAGTACAAGTGAGAGTTGTTGTCTTGTATAGAAAAACAGACAGTGTGATAAATAACTTCTCAGATTTGCATTCCACTGTGGATATTAGCAGTTGGCAAAGGATCATATTGAAAAAGAATGCTCTTCTTTCTTAAGTGATTTTTACTACATGTAGTTTGGAATCATAGAAGACCATTTCATCTACTTAAAATTAACTAGCAAAATAAAACAGAATATCTTGATTCTCCAAATCTGAAATATACTTCAACAAAAAGACATTTCTGTTATTGGTAGTAAATTTTCTTTCAAATTTGCTTACTTGTTACTAAGTTCCTTGCAAAGGAATGAAAACTGAATCATTGAGAAATTTTTTTTAGGCATTCTGTCATTTTTATCCACAGATTCTTCCTTTTCCTGTCCATGTACTTATTTATTTGTGAGGTGTTAACACAAGTCATCTGAGCATAGAGGATCAAAAGCAGTCCTTGAATAGGTTGCTCTTACGTGCAGATGTCTTTTCTAGTTTATAACATTGTGGCAAGACTCAGAGAAATAAAATTGCAGTTTATAATCTTTGATTTAGTAGGGTTGTAACACTGCAAGAGAAATTGGTCTTTTAAAATGTGAAGCTAGTGATCATTTCAGGAGAAAACCATGCTGTTTTTCTAAGGGTTAGTTTCTCATTGTTGCCTAGTGTTGAAAAAAAATATAAATTTTTCAGATAAAAAAGGAGTGCCAGACAATTTAGTAGCATTTCACAGTACAGCATGATGAGAGCTTGGTAAAAGAAAGGCAATCTATTAACCTTGCTTTTACTGTGAAGACCTTCAGCTGAAGTACCAGAGTTGTATTCAATAGAAAAGGTTTGACCTTGGAATAAAAGTGCGTATTCCTGGAACCCTTACTTTTAATTAAAAAAAGTTGCAAGTTGAAAAGATGAGCAAAAGTGCTAACTCTCCTGGCTGAAAGAAAAATTCGATGTCATTTATCTTCTTGCTTGCATACCATCTGCACCCCCAGACACAGCTCAGTTTCAGCAAAGGCAGTACAGAAGTCCATGTGTGCTGCAAATGTTTGAAATACTGGCAAAACAAATTGTTGGGGAATCCACAATAAGTTGGTTTTTTTTTGCAAGTGGATTTGTTAGCTCYGTGTGTGTTTGTACACCTGGTCCAGTTAAGTGGCTCTGCTTTGTGGAATGAATCTTTGTCTGTGCTAATGTTGGGCATAGGAATCTCAGTCCCTACCATAGGGCTGGTGCTGAGCAGTTGTGGGACAAAGTGGTGTTCCCTGCCTCTGGAGAGATGAGACAGCACCACAGGTGAGCCAGGMAGGCACAAGGAAAGCTGAAGAAAAGAGCAGCAAGAAAAGGTGCWGGCAAGAGCTGTAGCAGAGGAGCAGCCTCTGCTGTCCTCCTTGACTGGGCTCTGGTGGGAGGGGTGTGTTTCCAGCATGGGGAAGAGCAGGGAGATGTCAGGAAGCTTTGCCAAATGTCAAAGCTGTGTGTGTACAAAAGCAGTGTCTGAGAGCTGCAGGTGTTATGGTGTCATGGTGGGACCAGAGGCACTGACCTGGTGCCTACAGAGGGTTGGTCAGCAGGGTGTGATAATCTGGATGGAGAGCTGGGCAGCGGGTCTTGGTGAAGTACACAAGTAGGGCATCTCTGCAGCCAGATACACTTCRTCAAAGGAAAAAAGAAAGTTTTGGTGATCAAGGCACAACTTAGGTGAGTTTTCCTTGTTTGGCTGGATTAAAAAGGCCACCTCTGCAGCAAAACAGAGTCTGACAAGGAGCRTGGTCAGAGTGTGTGAGTCCCAGGCACAGCAGGATACTCTGTCTCAGCTGTGGACAGACAGGCCTGCCTAGGCTGATGTCCACACTACCTGAGAAAGGCAGAGAGCTTAGGGGTCATGTCAACGCTCTAAAAGATCTAATAGTGAGCTAAAGAAAGAAATCAGTCTGAATTTAACTACTTCTGTGCTTTTCACCCACCTCGCTCTCATTAATGTTAACAAGGTCCTTTATAACAGATATTACTGCGTGTGGATGGATGGCTTGGACTAYTTCTTTTCTCCTATTTGGCCAGAAGTTGAAGGTCCTTGTGGGCAGCAGCAGATGACAGCCATTTTGATGGAATCCTTCTGCTGGGATCCTTGTGCCTATACTGGCTTTAAAATCACTTCACATACCCAAAAGCACGCCTATTAAATTACAGGATTGCAAGACTGAGTCGACAGGGGTCCATGAAACAGTTGTTCAGTGCAAATTCACTTTAAAAAATTACATATTAGCCTTTTGATTAATAACATGCTTGTAGCCTTGGGTTAATCTTGCAGAAAGACCCTCCAGCCCCAATCTGTAGAAGTATTAGCTATCACAGTCATTACCAGCATGTTCTATTAAGACTGACCAACTCTTCACATGTCAAGTAAACATTCAGCTTCAGGCCTGTCTGTCATTTATCACTGAGCTGGGGACACTGAGCAGAGCTAAATTAAAAACTGCTGTTCCTCCTCTGGCTCTGTATATGTACTTAAAAATATCTGTGTGTTATAAGCAAGGCAGCAGATAATGTTCGTGATGGCGAAGCAGCACTTTTCTGTCAGGACTTTTTCACAGATACAAAAACAAAATAGTACAGTGTCATGTAAATTGTGGTTTTGAAATATTAAAAAATCAAGAGGAAGTAATTAAAACCTTCTGAATGAAATGAGGTTCCTAACTTTGATAAAAACATCCAGGCATTTTTCTGATTTACTACTACTTTTCCTTATCCCTGGACTAATTTTCCAGCTTTGTAGCAATCGGATGTCTGGTTCTCATTTATTGTGTTTTGTAATTGCGTATTCATCCAGCTCTTAGCACAAAGCTGGATGCTCTGGCTTTGTTTTCCCTTCGTTAAATAATTTATATGTAAGGTTCAGCAAATGGAACCTTGCTACTTGTGTGAAGCTGCCATTTAACCATGAAGTGAAATGCTTTTATTGAGTTTGCCCTGCAGATATGGTCCGCTGTGGCAGTGCTGTCCATATTTGGTGGCTGTGCAAGGAGAGCCAGGTGGTGCTGCAAAGCATAGCACAGTGAAGCGTGGACAGATCTAGGTTTGACATTTGTCATCCTGTACTGCTGAAGGGAAGAGAAAAATCTGCTTTTCCATATGCTTATGCTTTAATTTTTGCCTGCAGTTTTGTCCAGATGGTCTTGTGAACATTGTTTACTTTAAGATGCTGTCCCAGATGTTTTTGAATGCCGATGGATAAATGCAACAACTGTGGTATACTAATACACAAATTATTTCCACAATTTTGGCTTTTTTTCCCCCCCTTTTTTTTTTTAACCATCTCTTTTCCCCAGCACTACTCTGGATGGCCCACTTCTCTGAGGGAAAAACATCTCCAGTTACAATATTAAACTTTTGAGGGTGAAAAGTGCCTTTGAGTTGCGGATACTTGGAGCTCCTATTCCTGTGCTGTGGTTGTTGTGGAGCTCTGCAGGTGGACGAGCCTGAGCCATGCCTGTAGCATGGCCCTTCTATGCATGCCAGTTAAAAGGTGTTGCTTAATGTAGGCATAAAACAGTGGCTGTTTCAGGGTATGAGCAGCTCATTTGTAGCTTGCTACATTCAAAAACAGTTCGTCTGCTTTTTCGAGGAGAAGTCGGTCTTTTACTTTGCCCTTGTACTGTCTTAATTTTCCACCTGAGTGGAAAGGAGGGTAAATTAAAGCTTTGTAAGCACTGTTAACAAGAATATTTAAATATGTTTTTAAACAGCAAAGCACCTCTAAGTCTGTTTTGAAAAACTCTGATACTATTTGGAAGAATAGTTGCACCTCGATGGCACTGTAGGGTGCAGGCAGACTGCATCAGAAGCTTGTTGCCAGATACAATAGATATTTTAATGACTGCTTTTTAATTTAATCATATTTTTTCATTTTCTAAGCAAGAAGGTATTTAGGAGTGTACAGAAAAGAACCTTTTGGCATGAGAATTTCATTAACGTAAATAGGTCTGTTAGTTATTTCTCAAGAACACTTTAATGAGATTTCAATGTGAAACTCATTAGAACAAATACATGAATTCATATGTCAAGACAGAGATTGTAGCATCACAGTTCTTGGCATCTATTAAGTCCATAACTCGTTTACATTGACGTGCATTGTTAATCAATATTTAAGACACTGCAGATGTCAGTAATGTTCACATTTAGTCCTGCGACCATGACAATATGAAAGTTGCTAGTAGAATTCAAGGCTAAATATTGTTATCTCAAGTCTTTGCATTACCTCTAGGCTACAAGTTAATGACTGTCTAACTTTGCTGCCCTTCATCTATTTAAATAATAAGGGAAACAGGGAATTATGTGGATGTTATAGCATAGTTTTACCAATTCTTTTGTTACTTGAAATTAAAACACTAGYATTGCACGTATGTGGATTGCATTAGCAGTTCCTCAGGCTGTGACAAAGGGAGGTGAGCTGGGGAGCAAATGTAGGGATAATGAGTTCAGTTGGGCTGTTGAAAAGGCACTTGGAATGGAACACTATAGTTGATAAAGACTTGCAGCATTCTGTGGTAACTTTTGGCTACCTCCATTCAAATGCATCAAAAAGCAGCCTTTGGATCGTGTTCCTGATGTGTCTAATGAACATATAGCTCAGTTAATAAAATATCTTATTTTTCTTTATGTATTGCTTGTGTAATTGTAGAAGTTACTGTCAATAAACAGTATGATTATTGTGGAAGGTTTTGGTGGATGTGTGTAGTTGTTGAGGGCATTGTTTTACCCCCCAGGGCTTTATCTGATGATGTCTGTTTTTTCAGTTTTTCATTTACTTTGAGACTGCATACAGCAGCTTAGAATGTTATCAAGGTATCTTTCCACATATGTTAAAATTAATAAACATAATCATGGAAGGACTAAATTGATTAAACTATGCAATTATGTGGTCATATTAATCTATCATTTAATTATAGGTTCTTCAAAAATCATACGACTTCGTGAAGAAAACAGTGAAACAAGTGAAATACTGAAAGGAAAAAGCTCTGGTAATACTGCATCAGTTCCAGTTAAAGGAATAAATAATTTAGGAAATACCTGCTTTTTTAATGCTGTCATGCAGGTAAGATGGAAAGATCATATCACTTTCTTGTAAGAGATTTCAGAAATACTAAATCTGTATAATCTGTGGGCTTCTGAAAAGGTTCTGAGTGCTATGAGTCTTCATTCTGCTTTTTGAAAATACTTTTCAAATTCTTTTTACTCCTTACTATCCCAAGAGTGTTTCCCGTTAGGATGAAAAAGAATTCCTGGGTCAGTAGCATGTTGCATAGTAATTATCCAAGTGAAAATGCCAAGTGTTTTACACACTACATTTGTGTGTGGGTTGTACTCTAGCRTATGGTTTTATTTGAAATTCAGCATTATCAGTCATGACTAATGCAGGGTATTTACCATGCTGGTGATGTGAATAGTGGTACTTTGTGCTTAATGTAAATGTCTGCACTCTGCTTTGGGATGATTTTAAACCCCTAAAATGGATGCAGTTATAAAAGTATTTTAATGATTATGGGKTTTTTTCTGACTAGAGTAAGGGGAATGAGCTGTATTAATATATGTCTGTTGATATTTAGGGTACAACTAATCCAGCATCCACCAAAAAAGCAGCAGCCTTAGGGCATTTTATATTGCACCATCCTGTTGCTTGTCAGCTGAGCAGAGACATCTCTATGTCTGCAGGCAGGAGTGAACAGATGAAAGAAAACTGCTACAAAGGTGTTCTGCACTGGCACACTTTACCCTCTGTTTATGATGCTGATTACAAAACCTATCAAACAGACAGTAAAACTGAAAATTGTTATCTGTCCATATTTACAGCATCGTAGAAACCTAAAGGATCTGCAGTCAGAGTTGACCAAAAATAAAGAAGCAAAGCTGAGAAATGTTGAGTTGGTTTCTCTCCTAAATTCAGAGAAGTAATACTTTTCAGTGTGCCAGAGCCTTTGTGCTTCATGAGGCATAAGAGGGACTGCAGAGTTTAAAAGAGGCAAATGGTTTCTGATAATAATATCCTCATAACAAAAATAAATAAAATGAATGAATCTTGTTGTTCAACAAAAATAATGAAGTTGTTACTAGTTAACTATTTTGAAATTACAGAAAAAGAAGTAGATGCAATTTGAGAAATAGATCGGGGATTCTTTTCGTGCTCTTTCTAGTGGTGAGATCTGAACCTCAGTTATACATTATGGAATATATCTGGTTTTGTCGAYCCCTGAATCGAGAATATATAACTAAAGAAACCATGTAATTGAACGATCAGCATGTTTCTTGTGGTTCTTTTCTTTCTTTAAGAACTTGGCACAGACTCACGTACTAAATGAACTGATGTATGAGATAAAGGAGAAAGGAACAAAGTTAAAAATCTGTCATACTTCAGACTCTCAATTGGTAAGTATGCACTGAGAAATACAAATTTGGGAAAAATGTGGGAAGAAGTTGGAGGACAGGGAATCACATCTCCATTAAAAGCACACTGTTACTCTCCCATTTCTTTTGCATTTTAATTGTTTAGCTGGTTTATATTACCTGTGAACTGACTTATTTTGCAAAAATTATTACTCAGCCCTGGAGGAGGAGGAAGAACTACTTGCTTTCACATGTTGTGATATTGAAATATCAAATAATGCCTGACCGTAAGAAAACCTGGCTAGTTTATTTTTATTTGCCATTTAATTTCTTAAGTCTAAACAAATGATGCAAGAAATAGTCGTTTTGGCTCTAGAAAGTGTTCATGAAATATTTAATTCCAGTCTATCCCAGCCCTTCATTGATAAGGCTTGTGAAGTTCATGACATGCTTCACAGGCTGGGGGGGTTAAAATGAGAGAAGTGAAATTTCAGTAAGGAACAAATTTCTTGTTCTCAAGCTCATTGCAGGCATATGGTAAAGTGACTCCTGTGACTGTAATCCAAAGAATATTCTGCTGTCCTGGTCTAAGTTGTCTTAGAAACTTAGGGTTTCATTATATTGTTAGCAATAAAGATAATACCTCTTTACCTCTGCTAAGTGAAGCAAACAGTTTATAGAGGACATTTTTGTTGTTTTTTTCCTTTTTCTTCCTGCTGTTTGGTGTGAGCTTTCTGGTGGCAGCGAGGGTAGAGGAGTGGTATTCTGTTTCAAGTACCTCTGAAATGATTAAAGATTTCACTGTGTTGCTGTAGGTGATGTTCATAGTTTCTCCAGGCGAAAAATTCACTGCATTACTGTCTTTATTTCCTCCGGTGGCAGTTCTGAGCAGGAACATGTTTCACTAAGTTACCCTGAGCCATAGCAGAGGTCTAGAGCTTGGTTTGCCTGAAGGCTTGGAAAGCCAGTGGGGTGTTGGCTTATGCTTGATGTGTGTAACTTGCACAGCCATAAGGTTGAAAGATTTATTTTTTGTTTCATGACAATGCTTACAATGTAAATAAGGTCTTTGGAGCAAAGACTATGTTTTCTGATCTTTTTATGTCAATGCAGAATTAGAGTGCTGCAATAGTCTAATTAATAGTAATGTAGAAACGTGCAGCTTCCTACTTGGTAAGGGGCCTTTTCCTACCTTTTCATGGTGGATATAAAACAAATACTTTATATTTGTGTGTATCCACAGTGCTTAGGTTTTGTATGGATATGGTTTCTGGATGAGACACCCTCTCCAATTGTTTATCAGGCACTTGTAATCTGTTTTACTGAGAGCCAGGCCAGTTAATGGGGAGCATTGTGGGCACATGAACCTTGGAGCACGTTGCAGAGAGCTGGTGGTCTGTGACCACTGAGACAATTTTTAAGACTGAAAGTTACATTGCTCTTTATCACGTGTGTAGTAACTTGAAGCAAGTCTTGTGTCATTGACTTTGAAATCTGACGCATAATTTACCTTTGTTTTGAAGGATCCTTTGGTGGTAAACCTTTCCAGCCCAGGACCTTTGACTTCAGCAATGTTCTTGTTCCTTCACAGCATGAGGGAGGCTGGGAAAGGTCCTCTTTCTCCCAAAGTTCTGTTCAGCCAGCTTTGTCAAAAGTATGTATTGTCAGTATCTTTTACTTATTTTTTAAATTTTAATTTCCAGTGATGTGTTTCTAAGTGTGTGATGTCAACTGTCCTTTCTAAAGATGTTCGATTTTACCAGGCAGTCTAGGAAACAACTTCTTCAYGTTTTAAAGTTGCAGAACTCCCTGTTGCTTGCCAGGGTTGTACCTGTTCTTCCTGTAGTATATGGCCCCATACATAACCTTGGACATTCAGTGGGCTGTGAAATGAGTGTGAGGGGGCAGAAGAAGGCATGATAAAACTGAAAAAAATAGGACCACCTTCCAGGTTTTGTTGTTTATTAGCATAAATCTGTGCTAATATTGCAGAATGTATGTGAGAATTTTGTAAGAAAGAATAAGATTTTAAAYGGGGAACTTCTGCGATGATGTCTAACCTTGGCATCATTTCAAAATTAAAAAGGGTCTAACAAGTAAGGACTTGAAGCAGTACTGAAATGGCATATGGCTCCAGATTGCAAAGAGCTTACAAGCCCTAAAGAAACTCCTGTTTCTTGGTGTGGAAAATGTTTACAGTGGTGCTTTGTAGGTACTTTCAATTATGATGCAAACAATCTTGCTTTTTAAAACACCTGTACAAGACCTACTTAAAAGTTGATACAAATACATGAACATTGACTTACAAATAACAGAATCTGTGGAAGCAGAGTGACTGGAATGCTATATATGAATCTCATATTTATAGCAGAATAAAGCTGGGTGATAATTTATTTGCTACAGTATTATTGCATGGAACTTTAAGCACTCTGCTGCAAGAGAGTTAGGAGGAAAGTTGCAGCCTCCTACCATGGTGTTCCAGGATGACCTTACTGAGTAAGAATGGATTTAAAATACAGTATAAAGAAACAAAAGCTTTTAGACTAGACCAGGGACAATTTAATTCTRTGAAGAAATAAGTCATTACCTTTTCTTTCTCCTCAAAATTCAACTTCAGAAGCATAATACTCTATTTTTTTCTATTGTACTTGTCTTCCTTTTGATCCTTTTGAGCTGTTAAAGGAAATGTGTATAAAGGGAACTTACAGCATTTTTGAGTCAAACAGCAGTGTTCTTTGCTTAGCATTATCTACCTGGAAGAAAAATGTACAGGGACGAAAACGATATTGCTTTCTCACTCCTCCTTCCTTATATTTCGAGGCTGTCTCAAATATGATTGTAAAAATYAAATTTGGCTGAGAAATGGAAGGGAAATGATTAAATAACTATAGTAGTTTTTTTGCCCAGTAAGTATTAAGGATCAAAGTGAAGAGTAGATGTAAAACATGTTTTGAAGCCCACCTTAGCAAATTCCTTGTGAAATAATCACAGTGCAGTGCACTTCAGATGGCATGGCATTTTTAAAAATGGCAGGTATTTTGTATCTCCTCTGTGTGTTTGTGTAGTCATCAAGTGATGTCAGTATTAAATCTCAGCTATCTAGTTGTTCTTCTGTTGTCTGTTAAAATATGCATACACTTTTAACAGTAAAATTGAAGCATTTTAATGTGGTCAGCAGCCTTTTGCTGCTTCAATGTGTATCTGCCAGCTCCTATCATCTCTTGCCTTCATCCCTACTTCTTCCTTTCGTTATCCTTGCAGAACATAATTTAGATACAAATCCCTTAGTAGCTTTACTATCAGTAATAAAAGTGCCAGCCATATCCTATTAGTGAGAAGTTAGGTGTTTAGGGGCAGTAAGGGGCTGGACAGGTGTGACAGAAGGTTTTGGTCTTTTGAGTGTTTTCTAATTGTTGATGTCATAAGCAAGAAAGAGGGAGTTTCAGAAAATTCAGCAGTGTTCAGAAAAATCAGAAGTGAAAGTAGGAGAAGGGTAAATCTTTATCTTTGCAAACTGAATGCATTTACTATTTATTAGCTTTAACAGTATGAATGCAGTATTCTGTGATGCCACTTTTACAAAGCCTTTTTCTTTCTTTTTTTTTTTTTAAGTTGGCTTTCTATTCTTCATCAAAGTTGAAATGCAAGAGAGAGCAGGGTAAGATTCAGGAGTTTGAGCTAGGGAGAAGTCTGTGTTAGTGCAGCATTCTCTGTTGAAGTGCTTGAATGCTGCCAAAAGGTCGTGTTAATAAAGTAATCCTGGAGGCAAGGCATGACTTGTGGTCTTCACATTGCATTAGCACGAACTCTTTTTATTCAACAAAGTTCAGACTCAAATTTTGTAAAGAAATGTCAGGATGAATGTGTAACAGGAAGAACTACACTGAAACAAAATGTTCGTGTTTCAGAGACAGATAAGTCAGTTAACTACTGGAGAGAAGGACATGAGTGAGACCTTCKAATAGTAATGTTTTGGGTTTATATGCATTACATAAAAGTTTGCTGACTCCAGTTGCAACTTATTTTTCTTTCTATTTTTTTAAAGATTCATTCTTTCCCCCTCACAGATCTTGCTGTCTCAGTGCAAGTGTTCAGTATATCACCATACCTTTCTTTAGTAAAGAATTTATGAAGGAGATTGTACAGGTAGTGTAGGATGGAAAAGGGAGCAGAGACTCATTGCCGTGTTCAGCTGGAGCTCTGGCATGTCCCTGAGTGGGATCCTGAAACCTGCAAGTGGATACACATTCACTGCTCAAAAGCAATAAAAGAACTGGAACACAGTCATTTTGAACTGCAAACTGCTTCTGTAAAAGTCTGAGGAGATCATGGTGTGTAGTTCATCATCTTGTGTATGAAAGGGCATTTGTGGTGCTCTTTTTTTATTAAATAACAAAAGAAAAAAATGATACTGAGTGTTAATTTTATCAAGTGGTGGGGTAGCCAGGTTGAAGAAGGGGAGAAGAAGAAAAGAAATGGATGAGTCTTTCTATAGCAACTGTTTAGCGTCTGGTACTAATTCATCCACTGTTAATTTTGTTAGTGTTGCAGCTGTCAGATGTTTTGCGAGGACAGATTGTGAGCATAGCTACAGGGCCCTTCTGTTGGTTTTCCACTATGCTGAATATTGGGACTGCAGACTTCTGACTTATCTGGAGACTTAGTGACTAATGCAACACTGATGTATTAAGAGGACATAAATTTTATTTCCTTTATTTGTCATGATTGAATAATTTTATTGATGGAAGAAAGCTTAGTTTTGTGTAGCAAGTAAACGTTGCAACATGTGATGAGTCCAGAAAGGAGTTACAGAATTTGGCTGCTTCAAACCTCCATCAAATAGTTATTTATAGAGGTATTTTATTGCTATATTACCATGCAGGAAAAAATACTTCCCTAATAAATATTTTATTGGTGTTCCCAAAATTTACATAGGTCTTCCTTCTCCAAAGACTATTCATCCTTCCTTCTCATGTGCAAAAAGTAGAACTGAAGGCAGAGGTGGGACTGGCAGAATGGAGGTCAGTGTGGCTAGGACTGTTGATATTAACAGAACTATAATTTTGGAGGCGAAAACTAAACAATTCCACTTTTATTACTTCTGAGAGGAGATGCTAAGGAAAACTAAGGTAGTGTTATACAAGATATAAGAGATAAAGGAAACAGATTATTTTTTCTCATTAATTAGGGAGTCTTTTTGCGGCTTTTCTTTTGAAATACTATTGCTGTAGGAAAAATACCTTTTTAGAAGAGATTTTTTGCTTGCCTAATTTTTCCYATTTGACTTCTACCATTTAAGTAGAATGGCAGCTGAACACACAGTTTGTGTTTCTCTGACCATTTGTTACAAATTATTTTGTGTCCCTGTCATGCCTCCACGTGCCTTGCTGGTTTGCTGGTGGTGCAGTGGCATGTTCAGGGGCTCTGACAGGGGAGATTACAGCTTGTCTGTGCAGCAGCAGTTGGGAGATTTCATGTCATTTTTTTTCAGCAAACTTTGTCAGAGTTTTCATAATTTTAGGAACAAGTTAGCAAAAGCTGAATGGATGAAGTTTATGAGTGCAAAGTGGATGAATTGTATGTAAAAGTGTGTTTTGGCAGGAATCATCTGCACATGTTCCTGAGCTTCATGTTCACTTCTAGTCAGGAGGAAGACCTGTGTAGCATTTTGGAGAACACACRTATTTGCAAAATGTGTGGTATTAGTGAGCTATGTAAGCAAACCTTACAGATAAAATGAAGAAGTAACCCAATAATTTTATTAGGTACTTCGGAGGTGCAGTTTCTGGGTTAACTAGAATTTAGGGAGAAATAACAAAATAGGAAGCCTTTATGTCAATAGGGACTTGAATATTGGGAGTTTAGGCAGGAGAGAACATGAAAGCAAGACGATAGCACGAGAAGACAATGAATGATAGAAGATAGATTAGCTGTGCTTCTTCAGCTGCCCTCATAAGAGTTCAAGGACCTGTTTGTGAAACTGAAAGGCAACAGATTTGGAGCCARGGGGATAAAAAAGTAGATTTAAACATTTTATAAGGCTAACCTGTGGAACTTACTGTCACATAGCACTGTTGGAAGTCTTAGCAGGACTTAAAGGAAGAATAGATCTGGTGCATTGTTGCAAAAAAGTGTCTCACCTTGGGGCAAGGTGAGACAAGTAGGATGAAGTAAATTGGTCAGCACATCTAAAGGAGAACTAAGTGCTATCTRTCCATGCCCTTGAGATAGTACAGTTGTGCCTGGTGTTATCTGTTAGTTCCATATGGAGACAAACCCATGTTTGGTTGGGCTCCTATCAAGCACCTCCTACCAAGCAGATCTCTGTAGGRTATGTACTGCATTATTAAAGGATTCCTGTGCATATTGCCCTGGTGGAAAAAAATCAAATAGTATGTTCTGTTTTCTGTTTCCAGGCACTTACTGTTGTTTCTAAAGTTTTCTAAGGTATTAGGCTATCTTCTGCACAAAGATAGTGATTCTTGAAAGGGTGATTTTGGAGAAAATTTGTATTAGACACAGTAAAAGTATGTGATCTATGCAGTATGATTGAATGACTTTAATTCTATCCCAGTTCTGCTTTTAAAGCATAACTTAATTTCCCTCAAATTAATATAAGAATTAAAACTACCAGKTTTTTTTTTTCTTTGAAATACTATGTTACTATGTAGTTTTTGTCATTACAGCATTCTAGGAAGTAGATCATCATGAAAAGTATTTCTTTAACGGACAGTCAAGCAATTCTAACTGGTCTCCAGATGAGCAGCAAGAGGCTAGATAAGTAGTATGCCTGTAGATGTCACATTTGTCCTTCACCACTTCTGGCCATTAGCAGGAGTTCAACCTGTTCTGTCATTATCCTGCTGACACTGTACAACAGGTTGTATCGCATTGGCACTGGCTCCCATATGTCAGCACATCTGTGAGCGGTCAACTCAACCAACCATCTCCAAGTCCCCCACTTTTGCCAAGGATATTGCTTGAAGCATATTTTCAAGGAGACGAGAGCACACATCTTTTAGTTGTCAGATTCCTATGTATCAGCATGGATTAATTCCTTTCTCTTCTCTAATACTGGTATATAAGTGTAAGAAGTTTCCAGTAAATGCATTGTGAGGTATGAAATTTTCTCCCTCCTTCACTGTTATTTTTCAGTTTCCTCTTGTGGTTTCCCCTCCAAAATAAATGCACTAATCTCAAACATTTTTCCACAAAACATGAGATATTTAGAATTATATGCAACATTACATAGAATGCTATGTARATGAATGACAGATTAACTGTATCTTTAGCAGTGTTAACAATGACATCMTTTGTCGGTCCAAGTAAATGACTCAGCCTTAAGTGGAATCTTTACAAGTCACTTTCCCTGCCACTTCACTTTTAAAATGGTAGCTGTTACATTCTCATCATCCTTGTTTCTGTTAAAATTCAGGCATATAGATTTAGTWCAGGCCCCGAGAAGCCTAAATAAACTTGTACTTGTAAATGATGTTCTAACAAAATGACAAAAATCTAAACCACACCAAAAGTAAAAACTTCCATGGCTGAGTTAATTTCCTCCCATCTTAATTTAAGCTAATAAAACTGTGGAATATGCAGGTAAATTATTTTACTTTGAAATACAAATTAGTAAAATAATTTTCATCTGATATTATTGTTGTACACTCATCAGTGAGAGGTTACACTGCAAACCATAARTAGTAGCATAAAGTATGTGTGGGGCTTTTTCCTGATTTTCATTGAATATTTAGCTTTGTGAGGTGTCTCTGCAGTGATAAAACCTTCTGTAACAGTGATGGAGTTTTTGCTTGTTCCTTTAGCAACTATTTTTTTTCCTTTTTACTGCAGTGTCTCTTGCAGAGGTCCTGCTTTTGTGCCCAAAAAATAATAAAATCTCTATTAGTACCAGGATCCAGAGCGTGTATATATGGAAGGTTTTCTTGCTGTACTGGAGCTATTAATGTGCCTATACTGCAGGAGATGGGCTGCATATACTCATGGATTCTCACTGCCTCAGGAAAATAAGAGATTTCCCATATATTAATGATAATACTATGGCTAACTAACCAGATTTCTCAGAATTGAACTGGTTTTGGCATCTGGATTTAAAAAAACCCTTTTTTAAGATTCCTGGACATTCAATGAGAGAAAACTTTTAGTGAATTGAAAAGTGACASTGTGCATGCATGCAAACATGTACACATAGCTACATAGGCCTTTTATTTTTTAAATGTATATAGAGTGTTTTATGGGAGCCAAAATAAAGGTTCAGTGCTTTTCAGAAAGTATTTGTGATTTATAATCAAATTTATTAGAAATAAAATGTGGTTTTAATGGAAAAAGAAAAGATTGCATTTTAGAAATATTAAACAAAATATTTAATTTTTAAGATTATTTCATTTTTAAAATTTGGAATTAATTTTGGAGGTTGATTTGCTCATGAAAAAAAATCACTTTCAAAAAAATGCTTTAAAAAGTCACCCACACTACTTCTAGATTCTATAGTAAGCCTCACAGTATAGTGGCATTCATTAAATAATTTTTAACTAGGGATATTGTCAACTTTTTGTCAAAAACTGGATTTGAAGTACAAATGTGAAAGTATCCTATTTGTAGATGTGAATATGTTGTTTTGCATATGCAGATCCAGATTTGTTCCACTTAATTTTAGGCACTGCCCTTAGATATCTGCCTTGTCCCCTTCAATCCTTCTCCAGTTACACCCCAAAGGTGCCTCCAGTGAACAGCTCAAAACTGAGACTCCTGTATCACTATCCTGCCTGTAGCCCATGTCTTCTGTGCCCTAACTTGGCATCTTGACACCTTGCCCAGCTTTACATCTCACTGTTGTATGCACATTGCAATCTGGTGTATTTTCTATTCACCTTTAATTTCTCCTGTCCATGAGCACAAACTTCCAAGATTTGCATCTGAGTAGCTTTAGAGTATGAGTGGGATGGCAGCCTCACCCCCAAGAACCCCAGAACAGCTGAAGGGCTGTGCTGGGCAAGTGAGATCATTGTGCCAGGGGMAATACCAATGTGTTTGGAGCTCTGTGTACTGGTTAGCCACAGCAGGCAATCCACAGCTCAAAGTGAAAACTGGCTCGGTGTGTGTTTAATAAAATTGAGTAACTGACTGAGTGGTTGGGTTTTCTGGCTCCTCTGCCAGTTTGATAAAATTCCTGTTTGAGCTCTGCTAATCCAGTTGTCYCCTGTGTTAGGTTTTGGAACGAGTGTACATGGTTAAAAGCCTGCATGTGCTCACCTCAGTCTGCAGCAAGAGTCACAGCTGCCATTTGGTGTGGCATCACTGAGATTCAGAAAACCACCCCTTACAGTCCTGAGTAACTTGCTTTAGGAGACCCTGCTTGGGCAGGGAGATTGAGAAGTGACCTCCAGTGGTCCCTTCCAACTCTGGTGGGATCTCATTTTAGATTAAGTAGTTCAAGACTGTAATTAAAGAACTAAAGGGTAACCTGCCTGGAAAGACAGGTGTAGTTTGGCCAGCCAAGTATTGTGAATAGAGATGTGTTAATAGTGAATATTTACACGATCTCATTTGGGGTTACAAGAACCTGAAGATGAAATTTTTTTGTTAGAAGCCTTCTAGCTATAGTTATTTTCATTGGGAGAACAACTTAAGGATCTGGCCATGTACTCATTAATTTAGTTTTTCTAATTTCTATGTAATCTATGCCTGAAAAATGTTATATGTAGAATATATTTAGATGCTATAAATAGTAAAAAAATAATTCAACAGTTCTTGAACAGTAGCGATTGATACTACTAAATGGCTGGCTCACAACAGATGCAGTGTTACCCCCATTCAGTTGCCTAAAAGATCACCAATGGGACCACAGTCAGAAACAGATTTTTTTTCCTCGTTTATCTTCTGAGGGCCATGCTGATGGTGCTGGTGATCTAAAAGGACTGTTTAATGCACATTGGAGATTTCTTCTTGATTGAGAAAAGGRTGAGATAGCAAAGGAGGTTAAGCACTTGGAAAATCTCTCTCTTCCAYGGCATTGAGAGTGTCTGGTGGTACAGACATACTGATGTAGTCTGTCAGGATAGCACTGCCAGCATGGATGAGACTCTACTGGCAAATCTGTATTTTAGTCAAGCTGCATTCCATAGAGCCAAACTCCAACCCCGGTTTAAGTGCAGCCTTGTTGGTGAAATTGCCTGCTACCCTAGAAGCCTCCTAAAGCCCCATGGGGTCCAGCAGGGATTGTACCTATTTGTACCCCGATATCCAACAAGTGTCTGATGCTGACATTGTCTTGCTAAGAAACTCCCAAGACAATTTTAAATTCTTTACTGTTTCTTTCACAGGGCTCCTCGATTCAAGGGGTTCCAGCAGCAGGACAGCCAGGAGCTTCTGCATTATCTGTTGGATGCAATCAGGATTGAGGAGACAAAAGTAATGTCTTTTTTGTCTTTTTAAAGCGAACTACTAGTCGTTGCTTCAAKGTCCTTCATGTTCCATTGTTTTAAAGATATATTTAATGAATTAAGAGTTATTACTATTTTCATTATCTTGAGAAAAAATGTCTTTAAAGGTATTTAATTATGTTTGTGTTGATTTGTTTAAATAGTTGATTGGAATGAAAGTTTCAGTTAGTGGTAGAAGGAATATGGTAAATAGAATATGATAACTTTAGGAATTTGAGTTGTTTGCCATTAAAAATAGAAAAAGGAGGAAAAGACATCTCAGATATCAAGAAAGTAAAGGTAGGACCTCTGCATTAGCTGACAAAATGAATTTTTAAAGGAAATTTTTTTGAGACAAAAATTAGCAGTTCCTAGCTGTGGGCCAATTTTAACTGAAAATTTTCATTGAAAATTGTGGAGAGAAAAAAAACAACAAAACTTGTGAAGTTTCTTGTACCTCTTGAAAGTGTGAGGAACTCCTTGCTTTATCACTAAGGTGCTGCTTTTTGTTGCTTTAAATCTACACCCAAGTATATGAGGTGTAGAAACACTTTGTTATATTGAAAACATCTCTGTGTGTGTTTTTTGTTTTTTTTTTCCTTCATTATTTGTGCTTCCTGCATTGTTCATGCAAGATGGGGTGTGTTTGGTTGCTATTTTGACTGTATCAGATTTAATCTGTCTGACTTAGTCTTGGACCCTTCTTTTCACATAATACTTTGTGGTAAATAGCCTTTTCTAGGCCTCCTCTAAAGGAAGGCCTTAAATCTTGCACTGCCCAGAGTATTTCCTCTTCCCTTTCATTTAGTAACCTGATGACTGCCATGATCCTGAGCTGAATTATCTAACAGATAAGATGTAAAGCTGTGTCTGAGCCCAGTTCCTAGCACTACAGCAGAGCTGAATAAATCCACATGCTGCCAGAATACTAATATTTATTGGTCTTGTCAGTGTCTTGATTATAAACCGAACTGCACGAGAAACAGTTARGCCTTGACACTGTCACACTTAGAAAATTATGTCTTGAACAGGGCACATAACAGAAGCAGCTGACTTCAGTTAGAAAACAGTTGTCTTGTTTTTGCAGCAGAGGGAAACTTTATTATTTTATTTTTTGATTTTCATGTAATAAAAGGCGAAAACTATATTTTCTTGACAAAGAAGGATTCACAGACAGCAGGATTGTTACAACAACTAAGCTTCTTCTCCAGTAGGTGTTTGTGCTTTCCCCTCAAGTCAGTCTCCTGTCAGCTTTACCAGTGGATGTGCCATCATTGTAATAACCTGCACCAGCATTTGCCTTTTGAATAATTTATTATTAAGSGCAGTGACAGCTACAGTAGCTACCTCAGAAGAGTGATGGAAGATGGTGAGAATTTATGGTGACTTTCTGGGCAGTATTTCTGCCACCTGGTGGGTGCCACCAGGTGGGTGGGTGCCACMCTGCCCTGCAATTACACCCCACTGCTGCCCTTACGGTGCATGACTGCAAACACATCTTTATCACCTCRGGGTGCTCTGCCAGCGACAGTACTAGTAAAAGCTCTCTCCCCCTCCCTCTCTTTTTCTTTTTTTTTAATTATCCCATGTTTCAGGTCTGTGGATGGCAGACAAACAGCAAACATAAGGCTCTTGCTGGCTGGACACAGGCAGGAGCCTCCCCACCATGCAGATTCTGGCTGGGCACTGCCTGCTGCAGCGTGTTTGCCACCAGAACCCCATAGCAGGGGTTACAGACACTAAACTTCCTCTTTCRTGCTGCTTTTAAACTTCCTTCTTGAAGATGGAACAGCCTTGCTGCAAGGTGACTGGCTGCTTTGCCATCCACCTATGAGACAGCTGAACATGGCCATCCCTGCTTTCCTATCCCTGCCAGAATTAGTTRTTTTTTAAATCCTAAGTTTTGATGAAAAATACATATAATACATAGCATGGCAGTAGTTATAGGAGCTAACCAAAAATCACTATACTTTTGTGTGGTTTTGTGTTTGTGTCTGACACTCCTGCTGAACTTTTTCATGTTCCTGTGGAAAAAAAGTTAGAAAGTGTGTTTTTACACAAGCAGATTTTTAAACTAAAAGCTTGGCCATACAACAATAAAGCTGACATAGTGTCTGCCATTTCCAGCAATGTGGGCTGGAGATGGTTTCACACCGGGGCCTGAAGTGGCTGAACCCTGCTGCTAATTGATTAATGTCTGCTGCCATTGTCCACAGCACCCTGCCCATTCAAAGACTATGTCTTTCTTTGACCTAAATAAATGGTTCAACGCACTAATCCCAACAAAAGGGTTGCTTATGGCCCTAAACCCATTTATGGTGCTCAACTTCATGAATTACCTATTGATTAATCCTTTTAGTATATTGTTGGCTTTAAGATGAACAAAGCCGAGCTTGGGGCAGCGGGAGTTAATTCACAAGCCAGGTCACATACTCATAAGGTCGGAGTATGACTTGGTCTGATGGGTGTCTGAACTGGAAACCAAACCTCTGATGCTGTCTGTCATCCTCACACTTCTGTGATATGTGGCTTGGAAGTGTGCTTTGCTGCCTGGAAACTAGAGCCATTTATTAATCTTCCTGTTAGGACACAGTGTTTGAGTTGCTTGCAGAAGGTTTGGTATCACCATTTGTCTCTTAGGATGGTACTTTGCTCTGAGTGTGACTTCAACATTTAATTAAAAATGTCATTTGCATACTGACAAGGGAGACTCGTACATGTTACTAGAGTTTGTGGATCAGAGAGACAGGACACTTGCCAGGAAAGGGGAAGCACAGGTCATGCATGTTAGAGTCAGGGGACCTGATTCATCCTCCTGCTTCTCTCTCTGCAGCATGTCAGAGGTTGGTCTTTTCTACCAGCCCATGCAGTTCTGCTGCCAGGAATACAACAGCTCTTCACCTCCAGGCAGCTGAGAAATAATGGGGAGAAGCATCCCCTGTCTGGAGGGGCAGCTACAGCTCTTTAATAAATTTGCCTCTCTCTGATCCTTCTTTCTAAACTGTAGTTTTTCGGATTTTTTTTTAGTAAATGTTGATAACATTTAYGTGGATTCATAAGAAGTTTTCTTTCTTGTCTAAGGTTTTCTAAYATCCCTCTGGAATTTGCAATGTTAGAAAATAAACAGAAGTGATAAAAATACTGCCCAAATGCAGTCACTGAAATCTGGCTTCTAAAAGATCCTTAGCTGCCTTCCAAGTATTTTGTRTCCTAGTCAATCAATATTAGTCCATTCGCAGTAGAAGAAACGGATAGTTCACTGAAAGTCTCGTAGTTTCCTTTCACCTGTAAAGTGCCCTTTTAAGAGGAGGGAATTTTTGAATGATTATCTACTAAAGTTAAGCTCACGTAGTTTTGACATTGTTAGTGAATAACAACAGTAGTTTTACAATATTAAATTATATTGATTTTATGGAAATAAGACAAGATAAAGTCTAATCATAAATTGTTAGTTTTTAGAATGTTTACACTTAAAATACTTTTTTTTTTACTTCTAGCGTATACAAACTGGTATCTTAAAAGCATTTAATAACCCAACTACTAAGACAGCAGATGAAGAAACTAGAAGAAAAGTCAAAGGTATGAAACCCTTTACTGAAAACTTCTAAAACCGCACTAGCCTTTTAATACCATTTTCTTCAGAACTGCCTGTWGTGAACAGGAGACCCCGAGTGCTGTAATTGCCAGACTTTATTCGGTGTTACTCTAGTGCCGCCTAGTGTGTACCGAAAGTAAAGAGAGCTTAGCATGCACTGACTTGCATCTTTGTATCCAGGAGAAAGGCTCCCTGATGATAATAATGCATCTTTTAATAATGGGTAGAATTTAATTTTGTTTTCTAAAATAGTCTACTCCATATTTATTACACAGTCATAATGACTTTACATTCAAAGAGGCCACTTTCCATAAATAAAACTGAATCCTGTCAGCTGACTGGTACTGTGAGCACTSTAAATACAATTACAAAGTCAAGGTAGGCAGCTGTTTCTAAAGAAGGCTTTTTTTTGTTCAAAAGAAGAGGTTTTATTTTTTGTGTGTGTTTGTTCATTCAATAGTTCTAATTTGGGRGATTTGTTTTAATTAAAGACCTAATGATGTTTTGTAAGTCATCCTTCCCAAATCTGCAAAAGTTAAGGCATAAAGATGTATTAGAAGAGGATTTTGTTACACTTTTTAGAGCTTTATGTTGCAAAAACCATTTTGAAAGGGGGATAACCTGTCTGCTTACCCCAGTGTCTATATCAAGGCCATGCAATATTATGTATTCAAAAGAAAACTGAGATTTTATTTAAAAAGCTTCTTAAGAGATACAGTAACAATATTATTAGTCTTACAGAGGATGGGGAAGAGAAGGATAAAAGGGAACCTGCTCATTCAAATATTTTTAAATGTTGAGATTACATAGTATATGTTGTAGTAGTTACTGTATTGTGTTCAAAACATTTTGAATATGTTTGAAGTTGTGCTTTCATAATATATCTTGGAAAGAATTTTGTTGTACTTATAGTTTGGCATTGGATGTGTTATTTTTCACATTTAAAAAAGGCAATGTTTTTTCAGCATATGGAAGAGAGGGTGTGAAGATGAACTTCATAGATAGGATCTTTGTTGGTGAATTGACTAGCACTGTCATGTGTGAGGAATGTGAAAATGTAGGTATTCTGGAATTTGGTTTGATGTGGAATCGATCACATACTGGTTTGATTATGTTGTCTTGAAAGTATAAAATTGTGTTGCCAATTTTATACTTGTTTGTTTGTTTGTAAAAACAAGACTTAATTGATAGTTTCTCATTTGAAATGATTTATTCCTTCTTTAAAGCATTATCCTCCCAAACCTAMGAACGGGGATCCTTTGAATTTAAAAAGGATTCGAGTACTGGGCTTGATTTTATATCTGACTTAGGGCTGGAGGTTCCAAATTCTGTAATCATATGTGTTACACGCCAGTGTTATTTGATATTTTTGAAGCACTTACGTGTCTTAAAACATAAATCCTCCTGCCTGCTCTTCTGGGATACACCTGAAAATTGGAAATTACTTACTTGGAATTAAAATGAGTGGGAAAATGCTAAAAGTACTTATTTTTCTGTAAAGTATTTTTATAATTAATGTAATAACCCTAATGAACAGTATATTCCTTTCATAATTAATATTACTGACATTCCATCATAAATGCTTTTCATGGTCCTTATAATTTTCTTTTAAGTTTGAAAGARAAAAATCTTATTTGCATGACTTTTCTAATTGAATGTTACATTTGTGTTTGGTTTAAAACATTGTATTTCATATTATAGAGATTAGTAAATTAATCAATCTGAAAAATTAAGCACAGTCCTGCAGTGCCAGGTAAACTTCCCTGTGTGTGATGTGCTGATTACTCTTCAATGTGCTACTAATACCAATGAAGAACTTTGATTATATAAAAACCAGAAATGGTTTGTATTTTTCATGCCTCATCTATTTTTGCTGGATTATTATTTTCTGCCTGCACAGGACTTGGGAATATGCTAGCTCTTGCCCTTTGAGGAAGAGTTTAGCATTCGTTTTCCTTTGCCTGCACTGGCAAGATATTTTTCATACATGTTTGTTCATGCAAACCGACACTTTAGAAGAATCCCTGTTTGAACATCGTTCACCAGGCAGTCAGTCACTAGAGCTGCACTGCTTTTGTTCTCATTTATTGCTTTACTGGAACCAAAATGTTCCCAAGTTCCGAGCACAACAGTCCATACCAAGTGTTACAGGTGGAAGAAGAGGGCACAAATACAAGAGAAGGGATAYGGTGACAGTAATTTGATGGCATGACTGTGAGTTAAATGTACAACATGATTTTTACTTCTTTTTTTAAGGTTCTGTTTTTCACAGTCTTTCCAGAGGTAAGATAAGTCAGTTTTGGAAGGAATTCGAGAACAGCAAGGGAGAGAGCCTAAGGAACTTAGTGATAAAGGCAGATGGAAAGTGCTGAAAGAGATTGTCTTTAGGTATGCTTTGCAAGCAATTTCCAGYTTATACATAACAAAATGAAACCTCAATACAAAAAAAGAAGTTGGGTTTTTTTTCAATCCCCTTTTCTCCTGTGATTGGATTTATTTCACTAATTACTACATGGCGTGAAAAAATCTTAACAAAGCTTTTGACTGTAACCAGTAAGACTGACTTAATCTTGTCTGAGAGCATGAGGTTAGAACCTGTCACTTAACTGCCATTAACCAATCCTTGCTGCGTAACAGCTCAAACACCTTTGCAGAAGTGTCCAGAATGAGGAAACTCTAAAAGGTAGCTTTCTATAAARTGGTACCACAGAGGCCCATGTGACTTGAAAATCTGTCTGGAGCTCAGAGAAAGTGAGCACCACACTGCTTCAAGCCACTTCATGCCCAGATGAATGGCCTYGCCCTTTTTCTGTGTATGCTGAAGTTTTGTGTGGTGTTAGAAAGAAAATTAGAGCTAACTTAATAAATTTTTTAGAAGTTAGTGGGAAGTTCTTCATTGTAGTTTCATAATCTTGTGAGTAATTAGCTTTTTGTATACATTTGTATACATTTTGTATACTTTTTGGTAATAAATTGATTAAATAAAGGGAACTATGTACTAAACCCATATACTGTTCTTTGTGTTTACATACATTTTCTCTTTTTCTTCAAGATTTCAACAGTCAAAGAACCTTTCATTGATCTTTCACTTCCTATWATAGAGGAGAGGGTAAGAAACAGAATATGTCATAAGTAACTGTTGCTTCCAGTGAATTGTTTTCAATACCCCCTTATGAAAATATATATGAATATACACCCAGTTTTGATTTCAAGCTTAAAAAACATAACCTTGCCCATAAATACATGTACTGTTATCCATCTGTTCATTATATGATTTTCTTTATATATATAGGCATACAATGTCCTAAGTGTGTATGTCTTTAAAATAGTCCAGACTTGGATGAAATGCCCATACAAACTTAGAGAGTATATAGGTCTGAGATTAGCTTCATTTAATAGTATATACTTTTGCAAATAGAATGATTATAAGACTTTTTTTTTGGAGGTCCAGAGAGCCAGATTCTAGCCTATTGGTTTGCATCTAGACAACCTGAGTCCCTTGGGATGATGTTTACCTACAAGATGAAACACTGTAAAAATGGATGTTTAAATCTATTTATTCTGGTGTTCTCAGCATTTCATGGATTGCCTCCATTATCTGCACAGGAACTGTGTTCCTTTGAAAGCATAAACTGTTTTTTCAGGACTTGGGGTTTTCATTTGAGAATAGTAGGGGTAAGTTGGGAGTGATTCTTCCTCCATCCTGCATATATGAATCTGTATTTAGGGGAGAGAAATTAATATAATATTAATTTCTGTATAAAATGTATTCTTCTGCTACACCAGTTTTGCTTATAACAAATTCTTAGTCTTTGCTGGTGCATTGAGTGCAGATGCCTGTGGGAGTTAAGGCTTTAAGAGCATTTTGAATATCTGGGCCTTTGTGCTTCCTGGCTCCCATGTGTACCAAGGGAACTTTGTGGGTTCTGTTTGAGAGTGATTCCTGTGGGTGTTTAGCAGTCACTGCACTTACTTGAGGATGGGCATTACTTTACAGTCATCACTTTCCCTTATAGTCAGGATGTGCTGCTGCCAGTATCGTGATGGGGGGCTGTGGCAGCTCTGTTGTYACAGGCTGCACCAGGGACTAACTTAGGGGAACCTGTGTCCTTTTGATAATCTCATACAACTAAGCATGTGCTTATACAATAATAGAGTAGATTATTTTGTRTTGTATTGCATACAGAAATTTTGTGTCATTCCTATTCCTTGTGGCTTTCAGTTGAACCTTCAGAGATGTGGACAGTGAGTTTATGATTAAAAAACCAGAAAGTAGTCTTATATCACAATCCAGGGGACCATTTAATTSGTTTTATGTAGGTCACTCTTTTCTAAAATAAAGGGAAAAAATCCRCCCACATTCATCTTTTCTGTAGGTTGCAAAGGAATAAAAAATTGACATGTTGCTTTTCCTAATTTCCTGTCTAATTTCTTAGGTTGCAAAACCTGTGCCCTTGGGAAGAACAGGTAAAAGCAAAAGTGTACAGGAGGCAGATCTTGGTCAGTATAATTGTTCTTCTATCGGTACACTGAATAATCAACCCAAAATTGTCAAGAAACACACATTAACAAAAGATAAGGTAAGAACTTAAATACTCACACTAASCAGTCACCCTGCGTTAACTCTGAAGTCTTTAGGGTGACTGGAAATTTCTAGGGAATTTTGATACGTCAGTGGGSTTTTTTAGTCAACATATAGCTGACGTGGACTTGTTTTAAAATATTTAGGTCATCATTAGAAGTGTGAGAAATGACAATCATTGGTAATCATTTGGCTTTTAGTTACAGGGTTTCATTTGTAAGGGAAAAAATCTGCAGACTTATTTCAATTCATGTTGGTTTTGGGACTAATACAAGGGTCTGTGCTCTGTTGAGTACCAYAAAAGCTCTCCTGAATCATGTCCTAACATATTAAACACATGCAAAGAAAAAATACAACATATAACCATATAAAAGAATGACAGGAGAAGGGAGTGAGGCAGAAGTAGAAAAAGGACATGAGGTAGAAACAAAGAAAAGGATGRAAAGTAATACAGAAACTGATTGTTACAGAAGAAAAGGCCTTAAATGCAAATTATTGAGATGAATGGAAGGATTCCCATTGGTACCATTGGAATTTTGATCCAATTCAAATAAAGGAAATAAAAAAGAGGAAGGAAAGTTGCTAATTTCTTTTGAAAAGTAGACAAACCAAAGAAGGCAAGAAGAGAATCATGAACATTTGCAAATCACCTAAAATTATGGCAGCTTTGTGGTCTTGGCTTTTTAAAACTATTGGAGTAGTTTTCTGTGAAAGCAATCTTTTTTTTTCTTCCTGCAATCTTGATTTAAAAAAATGTCAACTTCAGGTAATTTTCAAATCAGCAAACATTCTCTTAGGGATGTCTTGTTTAATTCTATGATAAATGCCTGCAAGGTGAGTTGAATTTTTTTTGAGCTGCTCATCAGTTGAGGTCTCTCATGGGAGGCCGGGGGAATAGTTTAAATTTGAGAACCTTTTAGAAGCTTAAATTAGATTAAGTGAATATCACTTCAAATGTGCCATTCCACAGCTGTCACAAAGTGAAAATAATTATTGTGGGAAGCATTGATCTCACACTAGGTATAATGCTCTTAGCTGACTTGGATGTAGGTTTCTAATCCTAAATTAGTTTAAAAACTCTTAAGAAAATCAGCTATCTTAAACATGAGAGYTGGAGAATATAAAACAATATAACTGCCCAAAATTGCTTTGAATTTGTCATGTTTCGAAAGATCTGTTCGCATACAAATATGCTGTTGTCCCCTCCRTTACTGAATTAATAATGCCATAATTTACAGAATCAGTTGAACCATGAGAGACGGCTTGCCAGAAAAGCTTCCTCAAAGGAAGAAGAAAGAAGTCCTGTTATCATGCAGGAAAAAGCCAAAAAGCTTGAGCTGGAAGGTAGCTCTGGCATCCTGTGCTCCAAAGACACCACTGCTGAGGCGGCTGTCAATGGAAGCCAGACGGAGGGCAGTGAGAAGGAAGCCAGCCGCTCCGAAAGCAGCTTTGATGCAGACAGTGAAGCCTCAGAAAGTGAAAGTGCTTCCAAACAAACAACCTTGAGCCCACCCAGCAGCCTGTCTGGTGTGCCTGTCAACCACATAAACCCTAAAATGCCGCACAAGCCAAGCGACAGCAACGAAGAGATGGTTTCCAGTGCCATATCCAAGCTTAGCTTCTGTGATCCTATAAATGAAGATAAAAAATCAAGCTGTGGAGATCCAGCATTAGATGTATCAAATTCCATGTTCCCAGTAGGCAAATCCTCAATATCCCAAAACCCTCAAAATGCTTTCCAGACGCTTTCCCAAAGCTACATAACTAGCTCAAAGGAATGTTCTGTMCAGTCCTGCCTTTACCAGTTCACCTCGGTAGAGCTCTTAATGGGGAACAACAAGCTTTTATGTGAGAGCTGCACTGAAAGGAAACAGAAATATCAGAAGAAAACCAACTCCACAGGTAAAGTGCTTGTACTCTGGGCAATTTCCAGCATTGCCTCCCAAAGCCTATGTGCTGGCTGGCTGCTCCAGCACTGGCCTCCCCACTGTGGCTAAACAGAAAATGTCTCCCCACACAAAGCTTGCTTGTAACAACATAAAACTTCATAAGGCAATGGTAACAAGAGTAATTTTTATATTAGAACATAATTGTAGATGTAATGTAGAATTTATTTGCATCTTTATTCTATCCAAGATAAGGACTTTAAAAATGACCATAAACTGAGTATGTATTGCCCAATACTAATCATTGCTGCTGTTTCTGTTCCTTACAGTCCTCAAAAAATTTGAAATAAATGCTGTAATATTCAGCCCCAGTAGCTTACATACTCAGGGAAGTGATATAATTATGCATGGAAAAGGGGTAAAAAAGACAGTTGCAATGAAGAGAGGAAAAAAAATCTTCCAAGCATTTGTAAGAATGRAGATGAGAGAGAAGTACCTTCTTGTGACAATGTTTTCCTTGATGCTTGTACAGCCCAAGATGATCATTAGAGTTCACTGAATAAGAAAATCAATTTAATGAAAAATAAACATTTTTAAAAGACTGGAGGAATGGGGGGTTTTATGTATAGAAATCCAGAAGAATAAAAAAATTAAGTTMTTTTGATTATTTGTAAATAAAATATAAAGGGAAGTCTTACAATAGCAAAAAATTGCCTGTTTGCTGTGCATTTATAGATATCTGGAAAGATATGAGTTAAGCATGAGTAAATTCAGAAAAATTATTCTTAACAGTATTTTATAATCACTTCTTTAATCATTTGACTGTAAGTGCTATATAAATAATTCCTTGGTTCCATGGGCACCATGAAAAATGGAAAAGAAAAATCAATTCACTACTAATCATTATTTATTTTTTTCCTTCTAAAATAAAAGATCTAAGAGATCACCCGATTAAACATTAAATGCTCCATTATATTTCAAATGAAATACTTTCTTTTGAACATATGTAAAACCAGTAAATTAGTTATTTTTTCCAGCAAAAATAAACACTAGTGGTATGTTCTCTTTTGTTGTGGAGCTTTTCTGTGTAGTTTCTGGTAAGAGCCCTGTGTTCTGTGCCTTCTGCACCTAGTGGGTTTGGAGTCCCAATCCTGAATGCTCAAGCAGGAAGGTTATGAGGCTTCCTGAAGTAGACAGCCCTCCTCAGACTGTACTTAAGACTCTCTGTGTATGAAGTATACAGTCATTCAGAAAGAACTGAAGAATGGAAAACTAAACTCTTAGTGATCAGGACATTAGCATAGATAAAGAGACTTGTGCCTTCTCCAAGTTTTTATCTCTAGGGATTATCCATTTATTTTAGGTTTTAACAGGAAAGTCGGGTGCTATAGTGACAGACAATGTAGGTATCTCAGTGTACAAGCTGACCTAGATAGTCTACAGGCTTCCAGCCTCTGATCTGATTTGCGTAAGACTGCCTAAAATAATGCTCAGATTTTGCAGATTATGTTTATTAATAACTAGAAAAAGGAGAAAATATTTTCCTGTTACTCCACAAAATTTCTTTTGTTTTTTTATATAACAAGTACAAAAACATTGCAGCTTAGATCTATTTTGTCAGATGTTTAAAAAGTACATCAAAAATTCTGTATGACTGCCTTCACTTTACAAATTATTTTGATATTCATAAATGCAGAAAAGAAAATGGAAGGTGTCTACACAAATGCTCGGAAACAACTGTTGATTTCTTCAGTTCCTGCTATTCTTATTCTCCACCTGAAAAGATTCCACCAGGTAAGAGTCCAAACCCCTCTTGTATATTCCTCTGCCCCACTGGTGGACAAGCAATTCTTCAGGTGTCACTGTGGATACCAGCACTGCCTTTGTAGATGGAGACCTGGTAGAAGCACTGTTTGAAACATGCTGATGTTTGTTGTGATTATCCTAACACCTTCAGAGTGCATTTAGCAAAAATGCACCCCTTATGTGTCCATAACACTTACGTGTAGGCACTGTATTGAAAACATAACACAGAATGTTTAAATCCATTAAAATCTAACTCTTGGATTTGTTTAATTTTAAGAGTATAATGCACCTTAGCTTGAAAAAGCACCTAGTAAAAATACTTACATTACAGTCTTTCTTTTCTTTTGAAGGCTGGTTTGAGTCTACGGAAAGTAAACAGGCATGTGGATTTCCCATTGATTTTAGACTTAGCACCCTTTTGTGCGGCATCTTGCAAGGTACCATTTCAAATATTTATTTTTATCATACTTCAGCAGTTGTTGTCTTGACACAAATTAAATTGGATTGATGATGATGATGATGATTATTTCTTCCTTTTTTATTGAAATTATAGTGAATTTTTCAAATAGTGTCCTGAGATCAGAACTGTAACCATGAGCAATTCCATTCATGYACAGAATATCACAGATTTTAGCTAGTATTACTTAAGCTGTGGTGGCYTGGTGATGCTGGTATATCTAACAGCATTAAGGATAAGTATTACTGCTTCCATGATAAYTAAATTAGTAAGACTACTGAGTACTTGTAATAAATGTGTTTYACTGTTGGAAATGCTGTAGATGTCTAATTTGCCTCTTAAAGTAATACTGCTGATAGCTACTTAAGACAYTTGTAAAATTCATTGTGAAATAATTGACGTTTGTTTTCTGTTTTTTCTGGGAATGCAGAATGTTATGGATGGTGCAAGAGTGCTGTATAGTCTTTATGGAATAGTGGAGCACAGCGGGTCAATGAGAGGTGGTCATTATGCGGCATATGTGAAAGTCAGGACATCCTCCAAGAAATTGCTAGAGCATATTTCTACCACTAAGACTGTTCTGGGTATGTACGAACACAGCTTTCTTTCCTTCACTGTAAATCAAAAGCARCTATCTACAGGGATTTATAGCAAGTAATTTTTTAGCTCAAAATAATCTGTGATTTTTAGACAATTTGCAGTAACCCCATCCCAGGCAGTGCTCCAGGCCAGGTTCGATGGAGCTCTGAGCAACATGGGCTWGTGGAAGGTGTCCCTGTCCTTGGCAGAGCTGTTATAACTAAACTGTCTTTGAAGTCCCTTCCAAACCAACTTGTGCTTCTACTAATTATTGTTTTTGTTGCACCCAGTGCATATTCTACTTCTTCTATTAATCCTATACGACATGAGTGAATAATGGCATTTTGATTTAGATATTAAATAGATAATTGAGGGTAAACTCTCCTCTCTTTCCTAGTCAAAATAATACATCCAGATAAATAGTTGTGCCTGGTAAAATTTAGTTATTTGGCATATTTGGTATTTGAAAACTGTTTAATACAACAGTCAAATCCATGACATTAAATTAAATTTTCTGAATATTTGAGCAATTTATATATATTAGGATTGGGAATTTTCTAATGCTTAAAAATTTGGAATACTCTGRTTTAATGTATGTGAACAGCAAAATCTTTTTTGTGGAAGATACAAGGTTTTGTGTAGGGTTTTTGTTGCATTTTGAGAACAGCACTGTAGTTCTTACTAATACTCAATGGATATGCAGTACTATTTCCCTTCTTGGGRCAAAGTGAGAACCTAGCCTTTCTACCCTAAATGCCATACTTGGCATTTGAAGCTTATTTCCCAGAAAGACAATCTTTTACATTATTCGTGAAATCAAAGTTTCCTTCAGTCTTATGCTTCTCTTGCAATGATTATTAGAACAGATTAGATCTTTTTGTGTTCTGAATTTCACACTGGTCAGCTTTTGAATTAAGACCTTTTTTCTATGTCAGAACTGGTTGTGTTCTAATATAACTTACAGTTGGAACTCAGCAGGCTGTACTTGAAATGTCTTAGGCATTCTGAATAAAATATGAAAAAGCCATGGCAGCATGCATTTCTAAGCACTGTCTTTCACCAATTTCCCTTACAGTGCTCTTTGACATTTCAAATTTCAAACTGTGAATAGTGGACTGCATCTAAGTAATTTAGATCTAAGTAAGAATTACTTTTGTGGGTTAGAAGCTTCTCTTTTTTGAAATATCCACTTTATTTGTTTGATGATGATGTGAAAGACAAGGAAAAACTTCTTTTGCTTCTGCATTTCAGGTTTAAAAGAAGCCATGGGAGCATCAGGAGGACAGTGGGTGTACGTTAGTGATGCCCATGTTCAGATGGTTCCAGAATCAAGAGTACTAAATGCACAAGCATATCTACTTTTTTATGAAAGATTATTACTATAATTCTTAACAGTTTAATTTCAAAGATGGTAGAAGTTATTTAGTTTATCTTATTTAAAGCTGCAGTGGTAAGAGTACCTGTAAATATTGTGCCTTTATCTTGTAGAGAATTTATCATATTTTGACTCTGAAGTTCAGTAAGCTATTATAAATATCTGAATGATTCTCCTAAAGTATGCACTTTGCCAAACATTAAAAAATTCTGGGTTCATTAAAATGCAGTACTGTTAGAATGTAAGATGATGTCCTATCCTACTGAGGTCTAGGGAAAGTTTGTTTTTGATTGTAATAAAGATAAGCTTTCACCCATAGTTCTAGAACAGCTGAGAATAGAAATACTGATAGTGCTAAGTGCCTGGATTTGCTGGTGTACAGTAACAGTACAAAGTGTTCAACTGCTTTTGATCCAGTCCAGACCCTTCCCATCACTGGGCTGGATATCAGCTGTTAAGATTTCTGCAAACAAGAACCTGTCAAATTGTGTTGCTTCCGTGTTTAGTAGTTGGAAAGCAGAGTCTTTCCAGAGTGGAGTAACAACAGCTGTGTCTGGGTAATGCTTCAGTGCATTTTTCTGATAAAAGCTGGGAGTAGATTGGGAAAACATGGCTTCTAAATAGTGACAGTGAATCCTCAGATACCCAGTACCCTTTCAGCTGTCTCCAACTGGCACTGGTATAGCAAYGTACTCCTGTTTCAATATAAATATGTACTTGGTGTGCATAAGTATATCCTCAAGATATATACACACACCATAAATGCATCAGTAGATATTGTTATTTTACCTACTAGGAAAAAGAATTGCAAATAATTTCTCTATTTAGTAATTTTTCAACTTCACAGTTATGACAATGTACAGCATATAAGCTTGTGTATGTACAAAGTTTAAGCRTAATTCAGTAAATTCTGTTACTTTTGGTTCCAAACATGAACTTGTTTATCTGTTCCTGAATATTTTTCTCAAAGGAGTAATAAACTATAAATTATTTTTGCACCGTGTGTGTGAATTGGACAGTAAATGATGACTTTTGCCCTCTGATATGTCTGGACTTCGTTTTGTCAGCAGTGGGGGACAGCAGGTGTCCTAGTGGCAGACTGGTTTCTGTAGACTGTTTGACTGCCCTGTTTGGAGGTGTTATTTCCTTTGGTATTTCTCATTTCTGTCCCAGAGTAACAGATACATTTTAAGGTCAAGACCTGCTGCCTACTTTGAAGTTATGTGGTAATTAAAGTATTTAATAAGCAGTTACTTAAATACAAATTACTTCTCTAATAGTTCCATCCTATACGACTTGCTGTTTGGTAGAGAAAAAAAAGGTTTTTTATGCTTACTGTTTTCATTTATGGTAACTTYTTTAAATTAAAGAAACATGCTGTCCCTATTAGTATCAATATCACATGTTGTCATACCTACCTGCCTGACTCTCCTATTCTCTAATTCTGTTTCAGAGCTTCGTCCCACTTGTATTCCCTCTTTTGCATAATAAAATGGCACAACCTGCTAGAATTGTATTTGCTCAAACTGCTGAGGTATATCTTACAGGCACATTACTTGCACATTCTTGTGCAGGCACTAAGGATTTTTAGGCCATACAGCTGGTTGCCATAACGGGGTGGGCCCTTGGTTGCACAGGGTTTTATTTTCCAAAGGAAAACTCCTCTATTTAGATAAAATTTAGGCTATGTGTTTTGGCCAAGATAATATTTTTTTTCCCTTCTACAAATTAACATTGTTTCAGTCTACTCTAAAGTAGTAAAACTCAGAGAAACCAAGCAGCCAGCTTTACCCATCTATATTCCAGCAAACAACATCTTAACCTGAGTCTACATTAAGTAAGAAAGAAAGATAATCTTTAGACGAGAGTTGGTTAAAATACCTTAATTCTCTTTTAGGTCCTTCCCATACCATTCATCCACCTACTCACACCTTCCTCCTCTTTGTACATAACTGATCAAAACAGGCAACAGTCATAGCAAATAGCAACTAAGTGGCACTTGTGTGACACAGTCTTGCTATGCAGAGGGGAACACAGATGGAGTGGATCCCCCACCTGAAAGCAGACAGACTGAGTACCTGAGGCCCAAGTTCCTTCTTTTGCTGATTTCTGTAAAAACTACTGATTTTAAGTACCTGTATTAATCTTCTACTTTTTTAAACTAGAACTACCTCCCTAGACTGCGGAATAGGAGAGAAACAGAACAAGGTTTAACCTGTTACTTCTTATTAATTAATATTTTAATGCTGTTTTCAGGAAATTCCTGAGGTGCTCTTTGCTTCTTTTTAACTGGAGTTTGCAAACTGTTTGGATTGCTGAAATTTTACCAAGTGGACATAACTCACTAGGATGCCATAAAAGATGCTGGCAGGATTATTTTCTTATTAACAGCCAGGGAACAATTACTTATATTAAGGTATTTTATAGAACATGGAGAGAAAGTGCCATGAAAAAGACACAATGCCTTTGTCTGAGACAGCAATCACTGTTGCTCCTGTATGAGATGCTCTGAGTTGAAATAAAAAGCTGTGTTAGCAGGAATTGTAGTAAGCCCAGAGTCAGGAATAGGTATGAAAATATAGAAGGAATCATCCCCTAAAAAGGTAATGGGTGAAGCTATGCCTTCAAAATGAAAAAAAACTGATGACTAACACAACATGTCACAATTTTAGATGCAAGTCACAGTGTCCTTTAAAACACAGGTTTTTGGGTTTTTTTGTGTAAAGTATGGCTCTAAAGAAACTACACACGTGTATACTAAAGACTTGTTATAGTTTCTTATCAGGAATTTGAAAAGAAGCTCAGCATTCTGGGAAAACAAGGATGTACATCCCATATGTGCTAGAACATTAAATATTATTCTAGAATCTAGGAACCTGCAGTTCCCTGAAACTGCCAGATGTGTGCACACTATTGAAAAACTGTGTGTTTTCAGAATTAGAGTAAAGGGCTTGAAAGTTTAAGACTCTTCTTAAAATATCTTATGTTACCAACCAAAAATCTTTTCAGGCCTACAGCATCTACTCTTTACTTTTGTGGTCCTCCACCCTGAGAATGTGCAATAGCCTGCGTCTTCATGTGGAATGCTTAGAAATGTCTTTCTCTTCATCCCACCCTTCTCACAGGGCACCCCTGCTTTCTTCATCAGCCCCATCTGTTCTTTACATTTTTTGGGTCTCCATAAGCCTCTGTGTCAATGGCTTTGCTTTAATTGGTCCTTAAGCATAATACAGTGGTTCCCAATCCCATCACTTATTCTGTGAACTTGTAAAGCTCTTGGAGGAGCAGATACTGTAGCTGTAGTCTGGTCTGTCCCCATTACCACAATGGCTCTGCCTACAGGCTGCAATACCAACACTGAGAAAGGCTGTGACTCCTGAGCAGCGCTCTGCKGACCAGTCACAAGACAGTGCGTGCYGAAGAGTTAATAAGGATTYAAATTAAATAGTTCCTCACTCATCAGTAAGTAAACCTCATCTACAGGAAGAACCTGTTTCACATACATGGACATCTGGAATCCCCTACAAAAGTTTCCCCAGAACAGAGGCATCAACAAAAACCACTGCATCAGCTAAGGAGTTAGTACAGATTATAAGAAAAAGCTTTGTTATCTCTGGATTTATATATCATGTGTGCCAAAAGTGGCAAAAAGYGATGGGGAGATTTATTGTGCTAACCTATCTACAGTATGTGTACAGACATCATGTTTGCATTACTCTGTTTTCCTTAGAGATGGCTACAAATAGAGGTGAAAGAAGAACAAACCCTGAACTTTGCTGCCCAAAATGTACCCACTGTAATTGCCTTTGTTTAGAAAATTAAATCCATGCAGGCTGCCAAACCTTCCTCCCCTTTCCCATCTGCACCCTCTGTGTGTATCAATGAAGTGCTCTTGCTTATGGATTTCAAGTGGTAGCAGGTGAGAGTGGTTTATAAATTCATTAAAAGGCTGAAATGTCTTAACTTCACCATTTGCTTCTCTGTAGGCTTCTTTTTCATACTAACACAAACTGAATCATAAAGGGACRTGAAATTAACGCAACCATGTTCTCAACCCATTATAAAAATCTTAGTTGAACATACTGGTAACAAACTAAGGAGTAATTTCTTGAGTAGAAACTCTKAAGATGTATTAAAATGGGAACAAATTAGATGCGAACAAAGAAAGCATTTGAATACAACTCTTCTGTTAGCAAAAAATTAACAAATACAGTTTTYATTAAAAAGTGGTAGCACACCTCAGAAAACAGCTTTACAGCAGCCCTGATTAAACAAATCATTCCTTAATTTTCAAYATCTTTTGCTGTACCCTGTACACATTTATGCATTTGTACAAAGATTTATATATCCACATGAAAGAAAAGCAACCAATTTTCGGTAGAACCATTTCAGTCTAATTATTTTACAACAGATTATTGTTGTTTCTGTATCTATTTACCTTGTTTCTTTATCTATTTACCATGTCTTAGGCCATCATTTTGCCAGCTGTTTTAGCTGTTGCACAACTTGTWTAGTGTATAAACAAATTGCAGAAATGATGGAAAAGTGATTATTCGAAGTGATTAATAACCTATTTTTTGTAAATGAGATTAGAAAATATATTTTCAGAAGGATGTCTGTTAATGCAAGTCAAAACACTTTCCTTGCACATTATATAAGAAGTCTAAGTGAATTTATATGTTATAATAAAACAATTGCAATGCATTGCAACCACTTCAAAACTACTTGGTGTACATTCCACTTACATAAAGTTACAAATACTTCTGTCTTCACTGATAGCAGTAGGAAAACTAACTTTTAAGTGTCAAGAATGTTCCTTACATCTATTGCAACTTCCAGTATTTTTCTAGTACAAAATGTAAAGGTGCAGTACTGCTTTTAAAAGAAAACAGAGGAGCATTKATTTTGAGTGGGTTTATGACTTCTTAACAATTACCTCATTGCTTGCTAGTTTAGGGTTTTTTTTTTTACTTTTGAGCTGTGTCACCTGGGAATCACTGTAGTATATACTCTGTAATGAAACCACCTCCATGTCAATGGCCACCTTTCCCTATTTAGCCATYCCACAAAGCTGAATTCTATTCTACTGTCATTTATACATGGAGATAATCCCTGATATGTTCATGTGCATCTGCTTTTACACAAAAGACAATCCAAGTAATTAAAATCTTGTTGGTAAGTCCAAAGTACAGGTGAGCAATAAATCAAGCATGTTAAAAGTTTCATCTAGTTTTCATTCATTTCCTTTTTTCATCTGTTTGAACTAATAGTCTGACTCTGCAGGTATTTAAATAACAAAAAGTGTTTTTAGAATTTGACTACAGTGCTGATACATGGTACATTTCATTTGTAGGTTTCTAATTCAAAATATTTCTTAGTAAACAGGATTTACATACAGACTGTATTTAAAAAACAAACACAAGCCTGATCAGTTTTCCAGTTTATCCTAGATGATTTAACTAGTTTCTGAGAGTATAGATGCATTTGTTATCTATTAATTTTGTCTTTTCATCTGCTATACATTGTAAGAAAAATGTGTAAATAAAACATCCGGCCATTTGGGAAACACTGTTGTTTAAATATAAGCTGTATGTTATACAACTGAGTTCACGTTTTTGCTTTTGTCTTGTCTCRCATCATCACTGCTTATGGAAGAGCTCCCCAGAGATGGGCCTGTATCCTTGAACACTTAAATTACACTGCTTGTTTACCTTTGCCTTACCCTCTGTGGCAAAGGCGTAGATGGAGTTCGTTCCCTTTACAAGAACTGAGTTCTGTAATTCTGTGGTAAGGCCAAGAGTGGGACTCCCTCACATGCCCAGTTTCAGCTGGAAGCTTGTCCATCTGTAAGCATCACTCCAGAGTTCCAGCTGGGAGTCAGTTGACCCTGGACAGACTTAAAACCTCCACAACTCTTCTGTCCATGGAAAGCARTCTCAATCCTCCCATTCCATATGAGACAAAAAGGGAAAAATCTAGAACACTTCACCTAACACTAATACGTAGCCTAAGTGCCACTGACAAATCTTACACTGAAATAACTATAAAAGTTTCTTGAGGCCATCAGTTTTCCACAGACTTATAAAAGTTAGCTTACTCTTACTCCATGTGGGTATTAATATAACTTTATGTAAACACCAGAGAGACTSTGTGTGTTGTAGGCATTTACATCCTTGATGCTGGAGGAAGGGAAGGCAGTGATCAGAGCGGTAAGTCATGTGCCAGCTAATGGAAACCTCTGCTCCACACAAAGGAATGCAATTCCTCAGTTCCTGCCTACAGAATCATCTCCAGTGTCCAAGCAAGAAGAACTTGTTTACCACGGGTRATTTTGGTTTTCCTTCATACATTAAAATAGAARGAAAAATTCAAGGTAGAACTCACWAAARTTAATTTGCTTATTCAGAATAAACTACTTGGAGAATTGTCCTGCTTCACAAACATTCCTGATAGTCATACTTTGAATGCTGACACCCTGCAGCTGTGCAACACTGAAGTTATCGTGGATTTCAGCGTAGGGCCATTGTCCAGAGTCTGTCCACTTACATACTTACACCACTTACACACTTAGCTACCAGCTTTATATACTTCATGTCGACTCCGCACTGCACACACGGATCACACTCTCTGACTAGCAGTTACCTGTGGAGCCACGGAGCTAACGAGCTTCCCATGGGCCTCCTCCCACCATGGCAGGCAGGAAGGTGAATCCCGCTTAATTCCCAGCGCTCCCAGGCAGGAGCGCGTCCCCGCCTCCCCCTCCCGCCGCGGCTGCCATGGAGAGCCGCCAGCGGCAGGAACCGGCGGCGCTGCCCGCAGTAAAGATGGCGGAGGCGCGGCGTTGCCGCTCCCCGCCGGGGGACGGGAAAAGGGGAGCACCGCCSGAGCGCCCTCAGCAAAGATGGCGGCGGCAGGCACCCGTGTGTGCCAGGCGAGGGKCAGCACCGTGACGGCTTTCACTTCCGGGTGAGCGCCAGCGGGCGCCATATTGTCTTGTCTGTGAAGACGAGAAGCGATAGTAGCGGGGGCAGCACGGCCGCGGAGCGGCGGTACCGGCGGCGGCGGGAGGCGGGGGAGCGCGTAAGTAGCGGGGCGGACTGTGCTCGCCAGCGCTCCCGGGGGCCGGCGGGTATCGCTGACCCGGTCTTTCCCTTCGCTCCGAGCCGAGCCTGGAGGGCGCTGCGCGCCGCGGCGGCGGCAGCAGCAGCTGCTCGCCGGGCGTGAGGAACGGGCGGCGCCGCCAGCGGAAACCGGCGGCTAAGGCGAGAAGGGAAGAGCCGAGAGGCGCTCGTCCTCGCCCGCCGCCCGTCCCGGGGAGGGGGGGGGGTGTGAGAGAGCGGCGCGGCGCGCATGCGCAGCGAGGGCGCGGGGTGGCTGGCGGGGACCCCCGGGACCCCCCCTGTCCTGTGCCGCCCCTCCGGCGGGGGTCCCGGTGGGGACGGGCCCGGGGCCGGCACTGCGCATGTCCCGGGGCCGCCCCGCGCCGCCGCCGCYGCCCTGGCGGAGCCGGGAGAGGCCGGTGCCGAGCGCGCGACCTGGCGGGGACGGCGATTCTGGGATGCTGGGAGCGCGCACCGGCCCCGGCCGTGCCCGCTGGGGCAGCAGCGTCCGTGTCTCCTTCGTTTAGCTGCTAACCTAGTTGGGGAAGCAACATGTGCACCGGGATTTGCTAGTTGGCTGTGTCAGCAGCCTGGCTTCTGCGGATGAAATGTATTTGTGGGATATTTATGCTGTTTCAYGGGCTTCTTGGCCGTTCCTATGAATTCGTTCCACTGGAGGGCTCCAGAGAACTAAAATTCACACRGCAGCCTTTGTAAGATACCTGCACTAGCAGCTTGGCAAACGCAGGGTGTTTTTAAATGGATCCTCAAACAGATGATGGCTTTGAAAGCCTCTTTGCYTTCAGCACTTGTCCCTGACGGTTCTCCATACTTTAGAAAATCCCAAAAGTTGTTGAAGTGAACTTTAATGGATGTGCTAGGCTTTAAGGTTAAGGATGGAGCCACAAAAGTAGTCAGAGGCTGTAACTCCTTCCATATGAAARACAGGTAAAGAGTGTTGGGWTTGTCCAGCYTGGAGAAGAGAAGGCACAAGGGAGACCCTATTGCAGTCTTTCAGCACATAAAGGGGGCCTGTAAGAAAGAWGGGGAAAGATTTGATACCAGGGYTCTGGACAAGGGACAACAGTTTTAAATTGAAATATAGACTTAGACTGGACATMAGGAAGAAATTTTTGTGATAAGGGTGGTGAAACAGTGGAACTGGTTAACCGGAGAAACTGCACGTGCCCATGATTGGAAATGCCCAAGATCAGGTTGGACAGAGCTTTCAGCAGCATCATTTCATGCAAGATATTGGTCTAGATGGCCTTTGAAGGTTCCTTCCAACCCAAACCTTTGGATGATTCTATGATGTGCTACCCCAGCTGAAATTTACTAAATTTCTGTAACAAGTTGCTGTTTGGAGTATTCAGCCACCTTGGTTGYTGTTAATTTCTTCTCTTACAATTGCACCTGTAAATGTTTTCAACAAGTATTGATTGGAAGATGTGGGAAACAGGGGTCAAGGATTGCCCTAAAGGTTTTATTTTAGGGTAGARTCAGCCACCTTTCAAAGAGGGGCAATGGTGGTCTTCAAAGCATAAGGCATGTCCACCAGCAGAGCGTATTTTAGCATCATCTTCCAAAGACAGAATTACAAATACCAGTCCATCCAGCCAAACACCTGTATTGTTGATAGGAGTAAGAAACCTCTTTTTGAAGTCAAGCTGTGCTAAAGATGTTGCCTCTCATGGGGGTGACAGATTTGGCAGCTCCCTTGATTGTAGAACACGGGGGCACCTGAAAGTCTTGGCTTTGTCCAGGGACAAGGCACTGAGATTACTGACAGGTAAGCTCCTGGTTTTTAATTTGTTTGGTGCAGCAGCAAAACTTGTGTCATCTTTGCTCTTATACCACTACAAGATTTCCTGTACTGTCTATGTCCCGTATGACATACCAACTCCAGCTCTGTTAAGAGTGCTTTCTCTGCTTTGGGCTCAGAGGTTCTGTAGGGCTTTTAAGAGTCCACAAATKTAGCACAATTCCACAATTTTTTAGTGGTTAACTCATCTTATAAGCTGCAGTGGTAGAGTGGAGTCATAACCATGTTTGATTTTTAGTTAGGTGCAGGATTATGCTATGGAGATAGAATCACCACATCCCTCAGTCATGAAAAGAAGCGAGACTGGTCACTCTAAGTCTGCTTTTGGTAACAAATAATATTGTGGGTAGGTATTASTAAAATGTTCTTACTTTAATCACTAGCTGATCGCTTATTTAGTGATAACTGTATTTATCATTGAGGGTAATATCTGCTCATAACCAGTGARGAGTAGTTGTTTATTTAGTTATTGGTACTTGTAATTTTTTGTGCAGCGCATATTCATTGCAGAGGAACTTGCAGGTGGACCATTCACTTCAGGGAAAAAAAAATAATGCTGTGTTACAGGGCTAGTTGAAAATTCTGCATCAGGATTTCCAGTGCAATGATRCATGAAAATCATATTGGACTTTTTTATCTCCCCCAAACCCAGTATGGATTTGACTTAAACTGTAAGTTATGATGATGTTTCTGTGGTAGTAAGTGTTCTAGCAGTGATTTTGGTACTATATGTTGATCGAATCATGGGTTTGTCCTTTTGTCTTAGAAATACAAAAAAAAAAAAAGTAAATTACACCTGGCTGCCAATGTCTGGTCCTTATTCTTTTTAAAAAAAGAGTTGCATTCAGCTCAGTGAGTATGTGGATTTAAGTTTGAAATGACAGCCCTTGGAAGCTATACTGCTTGAGTGACTCTCTGAAGAAGATTTCATAATACTTTTTTCTTTTTGGTTTTTTTTTTTTTTTTTGTTTGACCTTTGTTCACACTGCTTCATCTTGTTATTTTTTTTTTTTTTTTTAGTTTGACCTTTGTTCACACTGCTTCATCTTGTTAGCACTGTAAATATTAGTCAGACATACTGATGTGTGAGACTGATGGGTTCTGGAAAACTTCATGGATACTGAACAAGCTGTTTTCATCAGTTCTTTTTTTGGTTCTGTATTTTGGACCTTGTTTATGCATTTGAAATGCCTCTGTTCTTCAATCTGAGAAAGAACAGTTCTGATGTCAAAAAAATGCATTGGAGCAAAGTTGACTTCCAGCATTTTAGTGATACACAGCTATGAGTGAGCTGGGAGTTTTTACATGTTTTTTGACTTGACATCTTGCTAACAGATTCCAGCAGGCACATGGGTATAGGTATAGCTTCTGGCTCTCAAGAGGAGAAAAGATGCGTTAAATACCTGCAACAACTTAGGGTGGTGCCCTATATGATGTRTAGAAGTCTTTGGCCAAGTGAAAGTGTAATGAGTGAAACAAGCAGGACAGTTACTTTAACTTTTTCTGATTTATTGCAGACTTAACTCACTCCRTAAATATTTAATTTTCTAACCAGCAGCTGAGTATAATAGTAGTAAATATTAATTCTCCCAAATACAATGGAAGCTGCTATGTTTTTGTCTGAGTGATGATCCACATTTGTTCTGACTCTCCGTAACTGTGTCTGCAGCCCCTCTGTAGTAAATTGTAGGGTTCATTCCTATGTGGCCGCACAGGATAAAATGCTTTTCCACACTCCCAGATCTTTTTAACTGTAGATGTATTCTGACTTACTTGGGTCTTCTGTGCCAAGACYACTTGCTCATGATAATTCTTGTGACACCCTTTCTACATTAGATTTTTCTTCTTGTTCGGGGAGCTCTTCTGGGTGTGCAAGCCAATTTTTCATTTGCAGCTCTCCATTCAGTCGCACCTCTTAAGAACAACAAATTCTTACAGAAAAGTATCCTTTATTCCAGTGACACAATCATGGAAGAAGTGCTCAGTTTACATWTCCTTCCAGTTTGGAGTACTTTGAAATAGATGTCTTTGAAGTTTGTACAATGCGTGTCCATTATTGATTTGGGATTCCAGCTTGGTTGGATATTGATAGTACCATGGATGAGCTGCTCTCTGTAATTTCTTGGGAACAATTATGTGAACTGTTGYTGTTGTATCCCTAAAATATTTTTCCACTAGTCCTTCCAACCTCATCAGTGATGTCATTGCTATCATGACCCTGTTGAAGCAACAGTGTAGTGGGRAGGAAGGGAGGGGAGAAACAGCCCTCCAGCAACACTGTTCAGCTTAAACTCTTGGAGGTTCTGGCCTGATACCTGTCCTTCTACTAATTGCTTTGATCCTGGTGTGATGAATGTACGATTAAATTTCTCCTGTTTACAACTGAACAATTCCACACAATTCATCATGGGCACTTACCATAAGCTTTCAATCACTGTGCTAAAATTTTGCATCATTATCAGCTACCTTGAATGAAAGTTAAAAAACTTACATCGGAATAAGGCACTCATATTAAAGRTCAGGAGATCAGGCTATTGATTTCAAGGGGCTCTGCTCCTGAAACAACTCCATTTTTCTTTAAGTTTACCATCAGAGCCTAAACCTATATTTGATAGAGAAACTGCCCACACAGTATGAGGAGCTTTTGAGATCCTTCTCAAAGTGTGATGTGAATGACTTCTGTAGCCCAGGATCTACGAAGAACATCCGAGACCAATGTGCCTTTGCTGCTTGTGTTGTCCTTAAGTCACACCAAAAGAYTACCTAGCTAATGACACTGACTGTTTAAGATTAATTTGTTTCAAAACCAGTAATTGCAGTGTGTTACAAWCCAGGACTCCTGCCTCTTGGGCTCTTCCCCTTCTACTATGTAGACCTAAATATAGTAAAAAAGTCATGGCTGCACTGTCAGGTTATCTTAGAAGTTGTGGAACTTCTGCCTGGCTTTTTTTTTTTTTTTTTTTTTTTTTTTTTTTTTTTTTTTTTTTTTTTTTTTTTTTTTTTTTTTTTTTTATTACCTGGATATGACATGTGAATGGGGTAAAAAAAGAATGTGTTGCCTTTAAACCCTGGGCTACAAAGACTAGCTGTGTAGGCATTCTTCAAGTATGCATGACGGCCTGCTCTTTCAGCTTCTTCKTTTATTTAGATTATAGATA